AGCTCAAGGACCGTCTGTGCAAAACACCTACTTTGGGATACCCTGATGCAAGCAAAGAATTTATAGTTGACACAGACGCAAGTGATATAGGACTTGGTGGTGTGTGTCTCAACGGAATGGTGACCAAGAGGTCGTGATAGCGTACTTCAGCAAGTCGTTGTCAAAACCGGAAAGGAACTATTGTGTCACAAGACACGAATTGCTAGCTGTGGTAAAGTCGTTGCAGCATTTTAGCAAATATCTTCTGGGACGAAAATTTCACTTATGAACTGACCATGCTGCACTAAAATGGCTATTGCAGTTTAAAAATCCAGAAGGACAAGTTGCGAGGTGGATTGAACTACTGCAGGAATAAGACTTTGAGATAGAACATCGCAGCGGGAAATCTTATGGCAACGCAGATGCATTGTCAAGAAGACCTTGTCCTGAAGATTGCAAACATTGTACTAGACAAGAGAGTAAGGAAGTGGTATCCGTGAGGATGCTCAGGACAGATCACCTCAGCAACGAGTGGAAGGACAGCTTACAACGTGCACAGCAGGAAGACATCAAGCCGATTCTGCAATATATGAAGGCCAGTGCTCCCAAGCCCAAGTGGAGCGACGTCTCAGCGATGAATTCGACCACTAAAAGCTATTGGGCCCAGTGGGACAGCTTGCTGCTCCAGGATGGAGTTCTATGCCGTAAATGGGAAAATGTTCGGGGAGACGGCTGTCATTTGCAAATGGTTGACCCTAAAACTAAAGTACCGGATGTTCTACAGCTGTACCATAATGATTGTTCCGGAGGCCATCTGGGAGTGAAACGAACCCTACTGAAGATCCGAGAACGGTTTTACTGGGTCCACTGTCGGCACGATGTCGAGGACTGGTGTCGCAAATGTACAAGTTGTGTACAAATGTACAAGGTGGGCTGTAAAGGGACCTCAGACTCTTAGTAGAGGTGCGTTGAAGTTGTACATCATGTTGGTGCACCATGGGAGAGAATAGCCATTGACGTGGAGGGGCCGTTTCCGGAGAGTGAAAGCGGTAACAAGTATTTCATGGTTGTGATGGATTACTTCACTAAGTGGCCAGAAGTCTTCGCCATTCCAAATCAAGAAGCTTCGACAGTTGCAGATAAACTAGTTCATGAAGTATTCTGTCGTTTTGGAGTACCTTTAGAGATTCACAGCGATCAAGGAAGGAATTTTGAGTCTCAAATATTCCAGGAAACTTGCCGAGTTATGGGTACTCATAAAACAAGAACGACTTCTTATCACCCGCAATCTGATGTAATGGTAGAACGATTTAATCACATATTGGAGAGGTACCTGGCAAAAGTTGTAGATAATCTGCAACGAGATTGGAACAAGCACATACAACCGTTTTTGTTGTCATATCGAAGCGCTGTTCACGAAAGTACAGCAGTGACACCAGCTTTCGCAAACTTTATAAGAGAATTACGGCTGCCTGCAGACCTGATCACCGGGATACCACCTGATGCCCCACGCAGTATAACCGATTATGCAAATGACTTGCGGAACAAAATGAATGACATTTATGAGCACGTCAGACAATCGGGCCTGCAAATGTCTGAAAAGATGAAAACCCGGTATGACCGCAAAATGAACAACAAAGGGTTCGACGAAGGTTCACTAGTGTGGTTGCACAATCCAGTCCGCAGCAAAGGGAAATCTCCTAAGCTTCAAGCTAAATGGGACGGCCCGTCCCGGATTGTAACCAGGATCAACGATGTAACCTACCGGATACAGAAAGGCGCAAGAGGGACTCCTAAGATCATCCATGTGGATCGCCTAGCGCGTTATTATGTGGCCGATAATGCTCGCGGCGAGCATGTCTTAGGAGGTATAGTGTTGCGCGCCTAAGTTGACGTCATGTACCCGGCACTAGCGCCATCTAGTGTCGGGTACGACAGCGAGGGGAGCTTTCCAGAAAATGACATCACTAATCTTTCAACCGACAGCGCCATCTAGTATCGAAACGAAGAACTAAGCTTCTAGAACCCCGACACTCGAAGTTTCGGCGCCTAATCGATTGGCGCGCGTATTTACTTGAATATTCCGGATATTTCGGTGATAATATATATTTAGAGGCGCTGCAAGATGCGATCGGGGAAGTATTGAATTAGGCGAGACAAGCGAAGCTTCGGAGCGAAATAAAGTGAATCAGTGTGATTAATTATTAGTGTTTAAGTTTAATTAGTGTAAAGTGAATTAAAGTGTTAATTTTGGTAATTCAATCGGCAATTTTTAGTGTAACGAACCTCAATCTCGTAATAATACACAAGAAATTCCGCGCGCAAATCTTAGCGCGTGACAACCGAAATCAGAATGTATTGTTATAACAAGTCAAACGAAGCATGAAGGTTAGAAAACAGGAGAACGATCACTACGTACTAAAGCATAGCCCGCCTGTCGGTGAGTAGTGACTGCGAAGTTAGATGTTTATGAGTACAAGTAAGTGAAGTTGAATAATGTACAAATTTTCATTTCATTTTTTCGTAGAAAATTTTCATGCTCCGTAATTTTGTAATGTTTGACAAAAAGAAACATTAAAAAATGGAGAAATGTTTTATTGTGCGTGGATGTGCAATGGTTGAGCATCTGATCGGTAAAATAGACTGAAAATGACTTTTATTGACTACACTTAGTGATCGCAGCGCCTCACTGATGGTGTTTCTGGGACACTATTTTCTACGGCGATCGTTCTTCTGTTCTTCTAACCTTCATGGAACGAAGTTTGGCAATGCTTTTTTTCGTCAATTCAAGGTCAGTAAGGATGGCATCGTCGCTCTACCTACGACTTTTGGTATTTATGTTGCCACGCAACAATAATAAGTAATAAAATTGTTTACAAAAAAACATAGGTGTCTAAGGTTATTAGTTTTATGTTATTTTATACTGTTTTTTTAACGGTTGGAAAGGAAATTAACCAATTATTGAACTTAAGATATTGATTTATCAGAATTATTTAAGATCACTTGCATGCCATCTAGCGTGCCAATTTTTAAACATCGCCTTTCGTTTGCTTGTTAAATGTCACGCACTTTGCTAAAGAAGTGTCAAATTTTTCCGGGATTTCATTATTGTTTTTCTCATTATATAATGTAAGTTATTGCCTATAAAGGTGAAACGCGTACACATTTCATTGTAGAGAAGTGATAAAATGATTAGATTTAAAGAAAGAGTGTCTGTGTTTAGTGTATATTTTGATTAAAAAATGTATAGACGGACGGCCAGCGCTTTCACCTTAAAATCTTATGGTTCGTACAATCAGTCATTTAAGTCGAGTTTCATTCCTATTTCAATATCAATAGATGTTTTGAACTAAATGAGTAGACACTATCGTTAATAAGATAATATATTATATAATATAATAATTTATATGTCTCAATACTTGATGGATTACTAATGTAACACAAACATATTTTTTTATTATTTAAATACAAACAAGATGTTTATTTGACTGCAACGTCATTTACTGAATTTCGGTCATAGAATTTAGCCCTTGGCGCAAAACAGGATTACAGTGCCTGAGTATGCAAGCACAGGTGCACTCCCTATTCCCTCACTCTCATAAGCCTCATTTACATTCAGCCCCTGATACTGCTCCTCGCGCTACCGGCAATACTTCGCTAAATACTGCCGTATCAGTATCGCGGGAAGTGTGTGTCACTCTGCCCTACCACTCACATCACTTTCGGCTTTCGATTATGGCAGACGTCGAAATAATTACAGCGTCCGCGCTGTGTCTTCTTGCAATACAAAATTATGTTAATAATTTAAAAAGATATCAAGTTCAAAAGAAGATAGATAGATAGATAGAAAAAAATTTTGCTTAAAAACATAAGCATAGTATTTAATTGACATATGTACAATTAAATACTTATACAGATCCTCTCTATTAGAATTTTTATACAGTAAATTGTTCATAAATTATTAATTGAATTATAACATTATTGTTACGTAAATAATATTAAATATTATATGAGATTAGTTATGCTATTATTATTTTAATAATTACACTACAGTATAAATTAATTCATAATTTTAATTACAATAAAATTATAAAAATCTCAGGCTATTATGCAAATATTACCATTTAACTTATTTTACATTTTAATAAATAAATAATCAATATGAGTTACCAATAGTTTTTAGAAATAAAATGTCAATGTTCATTAATTCCTTAAACTAAATTTTATATTATTTGACGAATTTATAATTAATTATGTACATAGGTACTATGTTAACTCAAAAAGAAAATTCGTATGCGTAGAAGATGATGAATTGTGGTTTTTATCGTTGAAATTCCGCTCGAAAGGCATTTTGGTTGATAGTACTTATTTAATAACAAGACGGCACGCACGTCCGTTCATCCAGGCGCTTGGTGCGAAGTGAGCGATGGAGATGAATGTGAACACTTACTGCCGCTCGCGCTGCCCGCCCTTTGACTTCCGCACGAAAAACCGAAATTTGAGGGATCGTCGGGCAGTGAGAGCGGCAGTGGCAGTCTCAGCGCGAGTAGCCTGTTTACATACCGCCCTGACCACTGCCCTGCTTACTTCCCTGCCCAACAGGGCTGAATGTAAATGGGGTCAGTCTCATAGTCCGAGCGGACGATAAACCGATACGACCGGAGAGAGATTAGGCGCAGGACCAACGGCTTAACGTGATTGGGGTGAGACACCGCTAATAACTGATTTTTGACCCGACCCGGGATTTGAACCCGGGTCCTCATAATCACCATCAGTCACCAATGAGGCATTTACTTAATATGGTGTGGGTTCTTACTCTAAGCACGAACTCACTAAGATTCTCACACAATTTTATACAAAAGTTTTTTATTGGCAGCTATTTAAAACTATTTGAATTGACTTCAGCGTCTGACTAATCAAAACAATTGAAACCTAAATGCTAATAGGAATTAAAGTTAAAATTAGTAAATATCATTAATGATAATGAAATCTTATTTAACTCCCACTTTCATTGTACTCAGGGCTATTTCGTGTCGCTATTTAATCGATTCGACTGCTTTGTGGTGATCGGTTCGATCAGCGAAATGGTGCTCACGAAAACGGAGGTGATGCCGCCTCTTGGGATCTCTGTACTTCGATGCGTGAGACTCTTGCGAGTTTTTAAGGTTACTAAGTAAGTGGAATTATAATCAAGAAACCATTTATTGATTATGGTAACAGTTTTAAAGAGCTTCTGACTGTGGATCCGCCTGCGTGGAAGCAGAAACACACATTTTTGACTATGGTAATTATATAATTTTTTATAGAATAAGAGTTACAAACGAAAATTACAGTCCAGCTGTTAGTATTGAATGCTGTGGCCCATAGGCATCTACATCTATATTTTATTTAGAGTCAAAATGCAGATGCGTTATTACCCTTGAGGACTAAGATGTAAAGCCTCGTTCCTAGTAGAGGGTCACCGGTTCTCTACACTCAATTTACGAAACACAGCAACATTACGCTGCTATTTTACGCTTGTATTATTTGAGAGCGTGGTCCCTCTCTGATCGCGCCAAGCTAACTGTGCAGCAACCATAATTTAGCTGCAGCGTGGCTCCACCACGTAGAGAGTAGACATTCATGAGTGATTGGATGTCAATATACAAATAAAATTAGTTTTACGGATTTTATCGCGCTTTATTTTATTTGTTTTTAATTTCTGAATTTTGTGTGCTTTGCTGGGTGGGTAAAGTCTGCACTCTGTCTATTCTAGACAGCTTCTGCCATTACATCGGATTTAGACCACAAATCTTCGCCAAAGAACATTGATTCCTACCAAGGATTATACGTGAGGCTATTGAAAATAAATAAAAAAACATCCTAATTTACAATAAAAAAAGAGGCTGGGTACTATCGCCTACTTCGGATCCTGTAATTAATAAAATTTAAAACAAACCCAAGGATACCACTGCAAGATTTCAAGATATACCAAGCTCATTCTGCGCATTTTGGACCAAAAATAATTTTAAGATATTCCGGGTTCTTCAGCAAGATATTCTGGGCTTATGTAGAATACCAGCGTAAAATAACAGTTTAATGCTGGCTGAAAATGGGGCATTCCATCTTAGCCCTTAAGGGTGACAACGCATCTAAATTTCGGCCAAATATCCATTTACCATCGGGTGGACTAGGTGCTTGTTTGTCTCTCTTATTCTATTAAAAGAAGCTTTTAATCTTTTTAAACACCGTCCCATAATAACTTTCCAATTTAATAATAAAATGTATATTCTGTGTTATTTTACAAACAGTTTCATTAATATTTAGATATTGGAGATCGCTCTCAAACTTGGTGGCGTCTCTACTCAACTCGATCCAGTCGATCGCGTCGCTCCTGCTGCTGTTGTTCCTCTTCATCATGATATTTGCGCTTCTGGGCATGCAAGTGTTCGGCGGAAAGTTTAATTATGACCCAGTGGAAGAGAAGGACCGACATAACTTTGATTGTTTCTGGCAAGCGTTACTGACAGTTTTCCAGGTAAGTCATTGAATAAAATCAGGTTATGTTTTATAATATAATTTATAACAAGTAGTACGACTCTTTTTAACCGTCTTTAAAATTTGGAGGTACTCAATACGACTGCATGTTTTTCTATGTATGTGACCTCAGAACTATTTTCTAGGTGAACCGATTATGATCATTCTTTTTGTCCAAGTACGCAATCATGTAACATATAAATAAAAATAAATCAGCGCATTTAATTCTACCAAGTTTTCAGCGTTGAAATCTCATCAACTGCTTGTACTCGTAAATTGTTTAAATTCTCTAACAAAATACTAAATATGTGCTTCAGATGTTTAAAATACTCTTACTGCTTGAAATAAACCTGCAGATTAAAAATAAACATAATTAAGATTACAATCCCGTTTGCAGATCTTAACAGGTGAAGACTGGAACGCTGTCATGTATGAAGGTATCAAAGCGTATGGTGGTGTCGGCTCGGTCGGAATATTGGCCTGTATTTATTTTATTATCCTGTTCATCTGCGGTAACTGTATCCTTTTTGAAATTGAAGAACTGTCGTATTTCCATGAGTTAAGATTTAGCTAGTGAATTGCTAATTTTATACGCACACTCATTTAATAATAATATATACTCACACAGGCATAAACATTTGTCACAATTCTTCTTGTTACTACATCCTTCCACATCAGTCTGCGCTCACCAGTGGTGTTCAGGCTTACGAGAGAACCAGATTGGCATGGATTCAAGTCAGTCCTTTATCCTCTAGAATGTCTCTTTTAATACGTGGTAGATCCACGCTGCTGTTATATTATAGTTGTAGCACGAATAGGTCGGCTCGACCGGGTAAGGCCACGCTCTCACAGAATACCAGCGTAAAATAGCAGTTTAATGCTGCTGTATTTCGTATGGTGACTGTAGGCAACTGGAACCCTTTTTTTCTGGAAGCTAGACATTCTATCATAGTACTCACGGATGACGGTGCATCTGATTTTGATTCTTAATTAAGGATAAATGTAGATGTCTATTGGCCATAGCATCCACTTACCATTAGGTGGACTGCGCGCTCGTTTATAGCTTGAATTTAGCTTGAATCGATGATTTCAAAAGAATGGCATCTGATAACGGCGAAATAGGGTGATCAAATAAGTTATTTACTTATAAGGCATATTAGACGAAAAGAAAAAATCACGTGGTAAAGCCACACTGCAGCTTTATTGTTGTAGAAGCACGAACGCGTTGAATCAACTGGCAAAGGCCTTTCCCAGTTGTGCTAACGCGTTCGTGCTTCTCACGTTATCCGTATCAGTTGCCTTAATATTGGTTAAGAAAAAATTATATCAGAAATTTAATAACCTATAACTAAACTTATTATAAATAACCATTCGCAACATACAATTCATAATACATCGGAAGTGTAACTCCTTAATCATGTAATGCACAGACATCCTACTGAACGTCTTCTTGGCCATTGCTGTAGATAATCTGGCGGACGCAGAGTCGTTGACTAACATTGAGAAAGAAGAAGGTGTAAGTACCCAAAAGAATTAAAATAGTTTTCTTTTTAATGTAGAAATATTTTTAAATAATTTCCAGCACAAATGTGTTACATTAAACAAATTTTAAAAGTGTCATACAGAATTAATAAATTGTTACTATTACGTGCATCGTTGTTTACGAATCCAAAGCCTGCTCTAAAATATATTAATTTTTATTGTTATTGTTATGTAATCGATATTTAAAACCTTGAGATTATAACCTAACATAATTGAGGTAGATATTTAAAATCGGTTGATTGACAATAACAACGATTAAATAATTGTACTTTCATACCGGTTTCCTTACGTTGAATCAAATGCTAGAATTACGACTTAGTTTATACATTACTACTATCTCGCCAGGCAGACGTTGTTCTGCCCTTTTCGACGACCCTTTGTCATGTCCTATTAAAAATCCTTAAATTAGCAAAAAAAATTGTGGGTCACTCATGTGCAAAAAAAACTATCCTATCTCTCAAGTTGGACCAAACTGCACACAGTGTGCAAATTTGATTAAAATCGGTTGAGTAGTTTAGGATTCCATCGCAGACAAACAACGTGACACGTAATTTATATATATTAAGATAAATAATAATTTACAATCAGCCAACTAAACTAAAATTTCAGATTAATATCGTCAAATATGTTACTATCACAATGTCAGCAATTGTAGATTGCCATCAAAGTTTGTAATCAATGATAAGCGTAACAGGTTTATGTGACCTTCAGATGTTTGCATGTTGATTGTTCGCGTTTGCTTGGGGTTTGAGATGAATTTAGCAACTAGCAAAATTAATTCTGCCGCTCGATCTGTTTTTTGTCTGTTCAGTAGTTGATGATTGGTGCAAGCACTTTAAGAGCATAAACTACACAATTTTCAATTGGTTGAAAAATGAATCTGCGAAAACAAATCGTTCTAAATATCTCATTATAAAAAGTAAGAATATACATTTATTTGATTCAGCAAGCAGCAGAAGAAAAGGAGGAAGGCAGTGTAGTTGCGGAAGGAGGTCATGCAGATACAGACGATGAATATATACACGACGATGATGCATACACGACAGATAAGTATGTTGCATTTTCATTATATAATCTGTATTTGTATTAGAGAATCATTATAGAATCTTATTCTTGATGTAAAAACAAGATCTGAACCAACAAGAAATAGTTTAAAATGTGTAAGATTCAAATGTCTGTCTTCTCAGGATTTGGATCTCCGCTCTGTTATCGTCACTAATCAAACAAAACGTTAAAATCAATGTTATCTAAATCTTCTTTATTATATTTTACTTCTTATTAAGGAACACTACCGAAATATAATTAAAGTTTATGATGACTACAATAAATTAAGTTATTATTAAGGTTATTTTAACTATGAATATTTTAGCTCCGAACGAGAGTACGACGAAACAGGGTCAGAAGGTGAGCATCAAGAGGAAATGGAATGTGAGGAGGATATTGGTGCTGCAGAAGAAGTTGAAGAAGAAAGACTAGAAGAAGAACAGGAAAGAGAGGATCATGAAATGATGGAGAGTCATCAAAGAAATCATATCGGTAAATACTATTCAATTCTTATTTTTATTTTATAACATAAATTCTACAACTAGCTATTTACGCCATAAAACTATAAATCTAAAAGTGTATCTTAGTATCACTTAGGTATGAATAAGGTATAGTTTATTACAAAAAGTAAAAACTGTCTGTACAGCCAATAGACCTGAGATCTTTTACATTTATAGTTTGTTTTCGAGTATTTAATATAATAATACACATGAAACGACGAGTACGTGTCTAAGTGAATTCTTAAATAATTGTCTTTTTTCTCCCAAAGGATCATAAAGCAAAAAATGGTCCCCTGTTCCGAAACACCAGTGCGGGCTAATAGTCCAACATGATCTCTAAAATTGTTTTAGATATGCAGGTTTCTTTAAGATATTTTTTCATCACCAAAGATCTGATAGATCAGCACTTATAACAAAAAAAAATAGTGGATAGGGACCACGAAATGTCTGCAGTCAGAAGACCTGTCATAATTTTTTTGGAAATGGTTATAGTTTTATTAAATAAGAAATTTTTTTGCCTTTTCGAATTTCTTGTAGCAAATTTTCGAACATTTTTATACCAAGATAGCCAGTTATCCAACCCATTTACAATTTGTAAGCTAGTTCTATCATTTATCATACAATCACTTATGAAAGAATAAGATAAAAACAAATACCCACATAGGAGTGACTGACATAAGCTTTTATGGTGTAAATTGAGGCGGAGCACCACCTACTCTTGCGATATTCAACTGTCGATAAACTCGTTAAGAAATGGCTTGTTCCAAATATTTCAAAATTATTGTAACTTCGTTGTTAACCAAAAAAACAGTGAACACAGAATATGATGACGAGCCGCGACTGAAACGTAAGCCAACTACGTCGTCAGCGCGTCCCCGACGTCTGTCAGAAGTCGATATAGGGGACTCTGTGAAACCAATACCTGATGCATCATCCTTCTTCATATTTTCCAAAAACAACAGGTTAGGGCGATGGAGACGAGGAATTTCAACCACGGCTTTAATTGAATTAGATGTTTTTTTTTAATATTTATTTTGTCTTTGACGACTTATGTTTATTTACTGTAATAAAAAAAGAAAAAACAGTGTAATTTTTTAATGTAAATGTAATTTTACGTTTACATAACTATCTTATCAGTATTCGATTTCTAGCGGATGCTATTATTTATAATAGGTTTTCATACTTTTTTCAATTGTTAATTTTTCCTATTTAATACACTCGTAATTACATCGTCAAAGACAAATCTATTTCAGCATTTAAGCCTATCATCTTTCTTATTTCTAATTTATTAAATTTCTGCTCTTTTCATTATTATTCTTATTATATAATTAAACATTTTATTCTCACTTAACTTTAAGCTTATTTCACAATATTTATGTTTTGCTTATATATTTACCGTGAATAATTTAGTATCACCTTTTGAGAAAACTATAAAATAATAAGCATGATTAGGATTTTTCATGTAATGCATTAACATTGCAGGAAATTCTTGAAATCAGGTTAGTTTTATACTAATGTCAGTTAACTAAAAAGAGATTGGCATCTTTTTCTATCTCACGAAGATGGCGACCAGTGTGAAGAGGAGGGGACGCTAGTTACCGCTAGACCGCGGAGAGTATCAGAACTGAATATGCCAAATCAGACGCCGCCAATACCCAACGCTAGTAGTTTCTTCATATTCTCACCGACAAACAGGTGATTGGTGGCTTAGACAGACAGTACCCGTGTCTCATTGTACCTGCAATTGGCATTATGTGGTCTGCAGCCTTGTGAATCGTACTTTCTGTTTCACATTTTCAAAATTACAATCTTCTTTGTCGGATATTTTTCGTCTTTTTAGAATGAATCCTTATCCATTTTCTTACTATTGCACGTGTTTGTCCATTATGTATCTGGACCCAAAAACAAAATTGAACTGCAATGAGATTAAAGGGTACCTTGTCAAATTACGATGTTAGCGGTTAGGTTTGTTTTTGTACCCTGGTATTTTTTATTTTAGCATGACGTGAATACTTAGAATTATTAGAACTATTTGTAATTTAAATGATATTACAGTTGGTTACAGTTAGATTTTTATTTCCTTATTAAAATCTTTAGTAAGAGCATGCGCTTCTAGCTGTGTTTATATTTTATCATTTACCGTGATTTAATTAATGTATTTTTTGTCTTTGTGCGAATTAAGTGTTTGCTTCTAATCAGTTATTTTTACTCGATCGCTACAAACAACTAAAAGTAAGGAACTAAACCTTAATTACTATCATTGTAATCTTTGAAATTGTTAACACGAAAATGAATGTTAAGTGGAAATATTGAATTATAAAATAATCTTACAAATAAAAGTAAATTAAAACTTTTTTATTTGTTTTTAAAGTCTAACTTTACATTGCTTATTATTAAAATATGAAAAAAAATTAAGCTCCTCTAAACAATAACAGTAAAGAAAAAAAAATTGTCATTTATTTGCAGAATGTTAATGAATGAAGTTAATTTTGGTTAATATATTAGGTTTCGAGTGCTGTGCTACAAGATGTCGGCATCGTCCACATTCGGAAACATCATTCTCGTCTGTATTCTCCTTTCTTCCGCCATGTTGGCTGCTGAGGATCCACTGGATGCTGCACAGAGGGGTTTCAGGAACTGGGTTAGTGACTTGGATACTGTACATTGTTTCAAACAGTAATCGATATTAATAGGTTTATCCTAAAAACCATAAGTAAAATTATTTTTGTGATCGATCTTCTTTATCTCAGTTTTGCCGGATTTCAAAGTAAGGTAATTTTACCCGGGATGAGATTTATATCATCTTATTACAAAAAGTGGTTAACAATTGGTCTCAGGTTTAAGCTATACTAAATATACGAACAAAAACGTAAGATACGAAATTTGACAGCAAATTTACGGACTGAAATTTTATGTCGAAAAATGTTTTTCTTTCATGAAAAGGAATTCTTAATCATAAATTAAAACCAAATACTGTCAATAGATCACAATTTGTTATAAGTCAGATAATGTTTATGAAAATTCAATATACAATATGTTACAAAACCCTGTTATTCCCGTTAAGTGCGTTATCACAATCAACATTCAAACGTTTAGAAATAACTTCATTTTCATTTGCAAAATGTCAATAGTTTATCTATATTAAAATAATTTCTTTAATACTGAAAATTCGTTAGTTACTTAGATGAATTATTTGAAATTAAGTAAAAATTATTAAAAATATTTCAAAAAAGTCGTAACGTCTATTGGAATTCGTCACCAGTTGTTGAGCCAGTTCGACATGTTCTTCACGGGGATCTTCACGCTGGAGCTGTTCCTGAAGCTGGTGACATACGGGCTGGTGCTGCACCGTGGTGCCTTCCTGCGCTCAGCCTTCAACGTGCTTGACATGCTCGTTGTCTGCGTCTCGCTCATCTCTATGAGTTTTAAGTAAGCTTTTTAAAGATTATTTCTCATCATAGGAATTAGTCCAGTACCGGGGAAGCGTTTTACATACTTAAACTGTACCTGGATAAACCAGATCAGATCAGTAGCAAGGCAAGCTAGCAAGAAAATAAGTTTCAATGAAGACTACAGTACAATACACGAACTGGTTTGTAATGGTACCGATCTTATTGTTGATGATGGTTGGATTATCGTGTAGTGCCTACATTACTACCACCTTACGGTGTAAATATGTACCTATATACTACACAGCAGTCAGTATTGAACTTGCATTCTAATCTATATAAATGTCTTTGTACTGCCTGCCGAGCGTTGCAGCTATGGCAAATAATAATGTCCTCAAAGCCAAATTTTGGTCACTGCGGCCAGTTTCAACTAAGACTACCCATCTGCGCAGGACAGGACTATAGTGTCTAATTTTTTTTTATTTCCCTCACTCTCATAGTCCGACGAGACTGTAATCCGTCACGACTAGAGAGGAGAGATCATGCGCAAGATTAACGGCTTTCCGAGGCCTGGAGGTGAAACACCACCAACTTCTTAACTTCGGTCGTTCGCATTTACGACCACTACGAGGGTTCTTGAATAAATGAATGGAAATAATATCATAATCATAATAAAGATATTAATTAATTTGCAACCTTCCGCTGACTAAATACAATGATGTGTCTTACCTTGATTGAAGAGCACCTCCCACCCTCCCACTATTCCAGGAAAGACACACCATCGACGATAATACGACACGTATTTCGCCTCTACACGAGGAATCCTCAGGTGATGTAGACTACCACCAAGCTACTACCAACAAGGCAATCAACTATGTCAAATATGCCCCCCCCCCTCTACGAGGGTTCTTGAATAAATGAATGGAAATAATGTCATAATCATAATAAAGATATTAATTAATTTGCAACCTTCCGCTGACTAAATACAATGATGTGTCTTACCTTGATTGAAGAGCACCTCCCACCCTCCCACTATTCCAGGAAAGACACACCATCGACGATAATACGACACGTGTTTCGCCTCTACACGAGGCATTCTCAGGTGATGTAGACTATACGGCGGCTGACCGCTTAGCGGTAAGCAAAGTAACGCCTGATTCTATCAATTGTCATAATCATAGTCTAGATTATCTTCTTCTTCGCCAACACTTGAAGTCCAATGTTTGAAATAATTTTTTCTCGTTGTAGGGAGGATTTGCCTTAATTGCCATGCTGGGCATTAGAATTGGCGATCGAATCTCAAGACTTATTGCAACTTTGACACTGCTCCCTCGTCGCCGGTCTGGGTAATTAACGGCCAAGTACTGGTCAAAAATTGTTTTAAAATCGTTATAATTTTTAATCTAATGAGGGATAATATTATTTCACTCACCAGATGTCGCTACTTGATAATGTACCGCATTGTCAAGTAGCGACATTCAAGTTTTTTGTTACGCAATGTCATTTAATTGAGAAGTTAGGTTTAAATAAAATTTTATCAGTCTCTAGAGTATTAAATTAATACGAAACATTACTCTTTAATTTTTTGCACATTTAATCTCTTTTTTTAATTTTTCTACTTTTATAAATATCTATGGTTTGGTTTATTTTTAATCGAATTAATACAAAATATAAATAATAGTACATAAATAAATATTAACCTTTACATATTTAGTACAAATGAACTTCCCAGCTATGAAATCTGTCAAATATTACACCTCATTTTTAAGTGGCACTGGTGGCAGAAAAGTCGTGAATGTCCTCATTGCAATTATTAGTTAATTACACTGGACAGAAGTTTGCGTGGTTTGCAATCATGTACCAAATAGTTGAATATAATGATAAATATGTAATATAATGATTCTATTTATCTATAAATATATACTTTTTTTCAGGTCTGGTAGTATATCTGTAGTGAAAATTTTGCGAGTGTTTAGGGTGCTGAGGCCTCTTAGGGCTATCAACAGGGCCAAAGGCCTTAAGGTCAGTATCAACTCTTACACTTCGCTAACATTAGTTTTAAATACAAATGTTTTTTAATAAATTGTAATTCCGAAGTGACTACTATGCTATTTGTTTACATTTACTATCAATAGAATTTATAAAGAATATTGTAAAGAATGTTTATATATTTTAAAGAGTTCCTAAACATATGTTTTCCCTGGTTATAGCACGTTGTTCAATGCGTGATCGTTGCAATCAAAACGATCGGAAACATTTTATTGGTAACGTCATTACTACAGTTCATGTTTGCGGTCATGGGAGTCCAAATGTTCAAGGTAGGGGGCACTTTGAATATTACAATAAAGAAGCAGTACAGCACTATATCTGTCTCTCGATCTGGACGATCACGTGTGTCAACACCGTTTAAATTTTAAACACAATAGAGTCTTTGAAATACACACCAAATCTCTATTACATATCTAAGAAATTTTCAATTACACCTTTGGGTATTTAATCTTCTACATTTAATTTTTTTCTACATTTCTATTTCTTAACCTGTCTTTTATATTTCTTTTTATTTAATCTACTCATTTCTCATGATAACTGTTTCTTCACTGTTCTTTTTCTTCACTGTTCTTTTGCTTATAATGTCTAGCCTTGTGCCAACTTTATTGCTAAGACCTAAAACTCAAAATAATAGTGTTTTTTAAATAACTTTTCTTTTTTATCTCGTATTTGTTTTTTGTTTTCTTAAAAACGTATAAACGACCCAACTAACTTTTGAGTCAACATATTACAAAAGAACTCTGGCATGTCAAAAATTATCAATAGAAACACTAACCTCTAGGCGTTTAGTTTGTTCTGTAATAATTATTTTGATGTTGTCTAAACTACAGATATGCATGCCTAATTAAAAGGACCCAAAGGTGTAGTATTCACGTTTAAGCTCATTAGAGAACTAATAAACCCCTGTATTTAGAATACATAACCATTCCCCCCTACCTTGGCGTTTACATAAGTCTTTCCACCCCCAAAAGGAATCTAACTTGTCTTTTCGTCTTAATCTAGACATATATAACAGAATAACTGCAGTCCTGTGTTGCCCTGTGTATTAAATTGTTTGCTTGTCCCCTATGTTTCGACGCTGCGCGGAACCGGACGATTGTGGCCTGTCCTTGCCCTTTGGTAACGTATGAGCGCCCGCAACTAACTCGCACGTTGATCTCCTGTACAAAACCGTAGTACGTGGTGAAATGTGTGATAGTAGCTATTAAGACGATAGGAAATATAATGCTAGTTACATATTTGTTACAATTCATGTTCGCTGTCGTCGGTGTACAGTTATTTAAGGTGAGGCTTTTGGACATTAGATTTGGTATGAGATCTTCTAAAAATATTTTTCGAAGATTTACAAAAAAATATAGTCAATATGTCTTTCAGGTATCTATAGAATAGTATTAATAATATATAGAATCTTTATAAGTTGCTTGCTCGTGTTTTAACGGCTCCGTTACTAGCTGGTACTTAATAATTATCAAATAAAAATACATATTACAACATCCCCTTTAATGAACTTACATAACTTTAAGTACTAACTATGATCAAGTTAGTCTAAATACATGAAAACAAAAATAAATAACCACGACAAGCAATCGCAATGGACAAAACAAAGATTGCTTAGTAAAAGAAAAAACAAATTTATAATTTTATAGAAATTTAGATTTATTAGAAATTCACGTCGGGGTCACCACTGTGGCCGTAGAAGGAAAAGGGGAGATCTACCGCCAGGCAAGGTGTTCTGCCCGGGGAGTGGCCAACACTCCGTGTGATAGTTCGGAGATGTTCTATATAAACTGTTTGATTCGGAACTTTGATAGCGCGATTTAGGCTTCGGTGTGTTTCGCTTGTGGCGCGACGACAGTACCGCCACAAGAGCAATATTTAAAAGAATTTTAGAAGATCTCAATCTGCATGATAGTATACTAACGGATAGTAACGTATTAAAAGTAGAAAAATAAAACAATTGCATGAAGAATGTTTTGTTTCTTAGTTTCATGATCTGTTATTTTGTATATAACGATTGCTTATAAATGTTAATCAGTGTATTTGAAAAACTTATAGTTGGTTGTAGTACAAAGCGCTTCAAATTCATCATGAGAAATGAGATATAAATATTTTTAAATATATTTGTAGTCTTGTTGATACAGTAAGGCGAAATGCCATGATAATGCATCAGATTTGTTGTTGATTTGGAGAGTTGATTGTAGCAAAAGCATGATAATATAATTATACAAATATGATAAGACTAACTTAAAATACTCTTTTTTCCAGGGAAAATTTTTTAGTTGTAATGACATTTCTAAAATGACTAAAGACGAGTGTCAGTAAGTGTTGCCAGTTGTTTTATATTTCGTAAAATATATGTCATAATGTTTGCTATTCTTTAATTAGCATTAATTATAATGTTAATATTAATATACACAATTTTAATATTTACCAACTAAAGCTGTAGTATAATTAGCAATATAAAAAAGTTAGTTCTAATATTAAAATGTTTTCGGAAATAAATCCTGATCTTATTATAATATCACTTTACGAACATAAATTATTTTTTTAAAAATGTTTATGTTTCAGGGGGACATATTTAGTATTTGAAAATAGAAATTATGTTGTAAGGGATAGAGAATGGAAAAGAAATGATTTTCATTTTGATAATGTTATGAAAGGGATGCTCACACTTTTCACAGTTTCTACATTTGAAGGATGGCCAGGGTGAGATCTTTTATTTTTTGTCTGAAATATTATAATTTTTGTAAATGATGGGGTCTATGGATCACTTAATGGTGAGTGACCACTACTTATATAACTACTGGTGTATTCTACTCCTGAGTACTATTCTGGAATACATGTACTACGCATATTCCATAAACCATCAAACAATTATAGTGAACTGGCGGTTAATTGATGATAAAAGAGTGATTCAAATAAAGTTGTATGAATTAGAATGCTTAAACTTTGGCTCCACTCACCATCAGGTGGGATTCAACTATTGGATTATATTAGATGAAAAAATATATAACGTAAGCAATCTGAAATTCCCGGTGCCGATTCAACTGAACTGAATAGACGAAAAGTCTGTTGAAAACCTGTAGCTTGATTATTTTATCAACCCTAATGTACTCTTAGCCAAAAAATGTTTTCTTTTTAAATATATATTTAACTTGCAATCCACCCCGGCTTCGCATGGGTGATTTCTGGATCTCGACAACAGCGCCACCTACCGGGTTCAAATATGAATTTAAACCATCTAGGGACGCATTCAAACACACAAAAAATCATCAAAATCAGAGAAAATTCATCAGAATTCGAGTTTTAGCGAAACTAACGGACAGCAATTGATTTTTGTATATAGACGTCGTGGCGGCATCGAACGGTTCGCGTATTGAATTTTTAAACTCGTGGTAACTTCGAAAGTAAATACTCGATTCTAATTAATAAAAAGTATTTTACTGCTACATAAATACACTCCGTTCGATAAAACTATTTATTTGAATAAGAATTAATACTACTCGTACGATACGAATGTAACCAACTATTTTACCGACGATCTAATTAAATTTTATAACACAAAAGCTACTATTGTAACTTAACTATGACAGTTAGATGTATTCCCTTGCAGATATTTTGTAGGTAATAATGAGTACTTTAATCATGTACTACATAATTTTTATGTATCGTGATAGTTTTCACAGCGCACGACAAGTACCTAAGAATTTTATAGGCAAAAGTTTGCTAGTTTGGGTTTCGTTGTTGCAATTTTTTTTCTTTGAACTTAGCTGCAGATGTCCAAGGATTGCAGTATCCATTTTCTATCAGATGCACTATTAATTCACTTGGCGTTTCAGTTTTATTAAAACCATATATTCCTCAATTCATTCACAGTTTTCAGGTGACAACGCATCTTCATATTGTTTTTTATTCAAGGATAGCTGTAGGTACCCTTAATTATATAAAAATGTTTAATCCACATCTCTAATTAACAACTTACAAACTAACCAAAGTTTTACTTTCATTAATGTCATTTTCAGGTTATTGTACGTGTCTATTGATTCGAATGCTGAGGATCGTGGTCCCATAACTAACTTCCGTCCAATTGTTGCAGCCTATTACATTATTTATATTATTATAATTGCCTTCTTCATGGTATGTGCATCAACGTAAAATTATATCAATGAACGCGCTTAAATTTCTTACATATTTCTTTATTACTTCTTCTAGGTAAATATATTCGTTGGTTTCGTCATAGTGACATTCCAAAACGAGGGTGAACAGGAATATAAAAACTGTGAGCTTGATAAGAATCAAAGGAACTGTATTGAATTTGCTTTAAAAGCTAAGCCTATAAGAAGGTACATTTTATAATTTTTATGTTTTAACTTAAGAGGCTATCCGGGTGGCGTTATATCCAGACCAGAAGTCTTTCCTCTGTTTTTCACTGGGTAATGACACTAGATCAAATATTTTTACATAATAATCAACAGTGATTGATCTTGATTGTATATCAAATCACTGCTGCTTATTATGAAAATTAGGAATCGACTAAAATTACTAAAATTACCAAGTATGTTTTTCTTTAATTTTGTGTGCCCAGCGAGCGCCAAATTTGAAGAAAAACATTCAGCTAAAGTCACATTGCTTGTATATAGTTCTTAAAAAAAATTATATCGGTCCGTTTTTGGAGGAGGAAACAGGAAATGCGGATGACGAATTCGTCATTTTTTCACAGATGTAATGAGTCCGAGCTACAGTTGTATCTCTCTGTTGTCTAACTTGATTATTCGGACATAGTTTTGCCACCCAGATATTCTCTCAATTTCAAACTTAATATGGATGTGACACTATAAGTACGAGTAAACTAACGGGCAACTTATCATAGAATAGTAAAAGTTAGTCTTGTTAGCCCTTAAACAGTTCGTTGTTGGATATAGACGTCACCCAAGGAAGAATTCACGCCAGTTGCTACATTTGGTAGGCGAATTAGCGTTAACAATACCTAGTACTTAGCTGATATAATATTTATTGTTTTGGAATATATAAAAAATTGTCTACTAATTAATAGCATTTATTGCACATTACAGTGTACATTAATGTAAATTAAAAATAAATAAAATGTCATCTAATGAGATTAGTAGGCGAAGGGTCTTCTGTTTATATTGAAATTTTCGTTTGTCGGTTGTTTCATATTAAATATGATTAAAGCTATTAAACTTTCAAACTATTTGCAGCGCAATGTAAAATTGCGTGTATTCTATTTTTATTATAATGCATTTCCGCAAAGTAACGCCTGATTCTATCAATTATCTATTTTTCTTTATCAAACCTGGAAATATCGATTTAGTGACGGCGTTATTTACAAACCTTTGTGGTTTATAAATTAATTATAGGATAAATAAATTAAACAAAAAATTACTTTTTTACTACTATGCACAAATATATGTTTTAATTAGTAACTTTATTTCAACAGATACATCCCCAAGCACCGCATCCAGTACAAAGTTTGGTGGTTTGTGACTTCCCAGCCGTTCGAGTATGCGATCTTCGTGTTAATCATGATAAATACTATCACACTCGCAATGAAATACCACAACCAATCCGCAGAGTACAGCAAGGCACTGGATTTGCTCAACATGCTCTTTACAGCTGTATTCGCTTTGGAGTTCATATTTAAATTGGCCGCTTTTAGGTTTAAGGTAATATTGTTATTAAAAAAAAACATATGCCGGTTCTACACGAATCATTCTACTGTCCAACTAACCCATCAACATTCGTAGTGGTTGTTCGTGCTCGTCGAATACTACGGCCAATTTGGTCTGGCGATTGTAATCATGACGGCGATAAATAAAACCATATCAAAGGAGTGTTGTAACTGGCACGCTTCAGATGTTTTATTTCGATGGATTATATGGCATTCACCATCTTCGTATACAATTAAAAAAATTAAAGTTTATGATTCGAAATTTTGTAGATTTCCAACCGTTCGTTGGACAACCGTGTACCGCCAGCATTATAGAAGCATTACATCAGTGGAAGTTAACATTAAAAACTTGTGTTTCTGTGATTTTGATGTATTTACTTTTTTTTAGTTTTTTTATTTTATTTATTTATTATTTGAGATATCTATCCTTACTGGTCAAACCTAATGCGATAGAGTTCTCTTTATTATTATAAACTAAATCTTAAATAACTGTATCTTAACAAACTAAAAAGAAAAAAACACGTTCAATAAAAAATACAAACACTAAAAAGTAAAAAAATATAAAAATCAGCTAAAAATTACATAAAAAATTACATCATTTTTTGAGAAAATTGAAAATACTCTAACAGTAACATACAATATTATATAATATGACCGTTGCTAATTCACTATAGCGGCAACAAAATACGTCAATTTTAAAATCCACAAGGTTGAAGAGCTCGAGTTAAAGGCGTTTTTGCTAGGAGATTAGTTCGTGTTGAAGGTACCCCGGGTAGTGGCGGCAGCCTCCGTCTCGTCACGTAGCGATCCGGTACACAGAGACTTAGGTGCCGCAAAACTTCCGGGTTATGTTCTTTGCCCCGCAGTAATTTCACTACCACTACATTAATTGTGTTCTTAAACATATTCAAATAGACTGAAAGAAAACTTATGTTTCTATAAACATTTAAAACTATTGTATTTTTATTTATTTTTATTTAAATTAACTTATAATTTGAATTGGAATAAAGTGAGCATAACTCTAGAAGTTGGCGAAGGAATTAAGTCAGTCTTGATGTTTCTTTGTTTGATCGCTTTTTAATTTATTTTATCGTAACTGAGATAAAATTTATAAAATCTTTAATAAAAAAAAGAAACTAAGCAAACTTGGAGACAATTTTTTTTTAATTTTAAAATTATTCTTATTTAATGAAAATATATAAATTAATCACATTCTTGTCCTAACCGTTAAAATCAAAAATCATCAAATTCGGGTGGTAAAACCATCATAAAAATATTTAAACTTACGGCTAGCACACACTTCATCATTCAACAGTGTTTCTCTCATTGCATACTATTTTTTTTACAGAATTAGGGTGACAAACGAGCACACGGTCTACCTGATAATAAGTGGATACTGTGGCCCATATACATCTACATTTAACCTCGATTAAGAATCAAAACGCAGATGCGTTGTCACCCCTGACGACTAAGATGGAATGCCTCGATTCCAGTAAAACGGGTCTCCGTCCATCTCTACATTCACCATACGAAACACAGCAGCATCAAGCTGCTATTTTACACTGGTATTCTGTGATAATGTAAATCTTCTTCCGACTATAGGTCTGTGTGACTTGCCTTAGTTGCCACGCGTGGCTGGTGTATTGACGATCGCAATACCAGATGTCTCGCACTTTTGCGCTGCTCCAATTCTAGCCTCGGTATTTTAATCCTGGCGTAAGCAGTATACAAACCGCCTTAAAGATATTTTTGATATTTCTCATAGTCACCTCTTACGACACATGAAATGGCATTATGGATCACTCTTACTTCGCCACTACAAAATCAAATAATTAAAAAAATAAAGAAAAAGGTTGAATTAAAAATATTACAGATTTATTTTAAACACCTGCGTTCTATGTTCTTATTTATTCAGAATTACTTCGGTGACGCTTGGAATACGTTTGACTTCATCATCGTGCTTGGAAGCATTATCGATATCGTTGTATCTCAAGTAAATGAACTCAAAAACCAGGTAATTACGTACAATATATTCAATTTATATACTATTATTTGTTATTAGATAAACACGATCACTACCACACCGTCTCATTTAGAAATAACTAAAATACTCTTGTATTTTTCTTTTTAAATTGATAAGACTCGTTAATTTATCTGTATCATGAATAGAACAGTTCAGAGAGTTTGATTCTTCTCATTATTAATTTTAATATTCTCATTATTAATGTTCGATGCAGTACTTTTTTAAATCGATTACAGGAAGTTGTTTCTAAATGCAGTTGGTGTAGTTACTGTCCCGAGCATGGACAATGTCGATGTTGTAATAACAGCAAATGCTAGAGCACTTACAATTGTACACATGTTTATGTAGCAATGTTTATTTCAGGGCAGTGGATTTCCAAGGGTTCATGTCGTGAAGGTGAGTGCAAGCTTACATGCGGTACACCTTACATTTTCAAATTATAATATATATGAACAAAGTTTTGTACATCAGACGACCAGGCGTCTCGCTGTGTTTGTTGGCGTCTGTCGTTTTCATATACAAGGAATAAAGGTGGTCCAACTAGGATTACTTGTAGTACTATGTACAATTATAGTAATGAACTAACGGCTTTTAATGTTGTAGAGCATTAAATTATTTAAATTACGTAGCTTTGGATGTTCTCTTTATAATAGTAATTGGGACAGTAACAGATACACCAAAGCGCTCACAAATTACACATATTCAATATACATGTCGCAATAAGAAGGTTAAAGCCGTGATATATATAATATCCCTAGGGATATAGTTATATACCGTTATATATTTAACTATCTTACACAATACGACCACAGCATTATTAAAAATCACTGACGACATACGTTTCGGAATGGCTAACCGCCAAGTCACAGTAATGGTGTTGCTGGATTTCAGCAATGCCTTCAATGATGTAAATCATGATATACTAATTTGTGTACTGCGTTCTTTTAACATATCTCCAACTGCAATTGCCTGGTTTCGTAGTTACTTATATGGACGTCGCCAACGTGTTCGGGTACAAGACAGAATGTCTTCGTGGCTTGATACCGTTGCTGGCGTTCCACAAGGTGGCGTGTTATCTCCTCTCTTATTTGCACTCTTCATAAATTCTATTACCTCCAGAATATCTTCTCTCTACCACTTGTATGCTGATGATCTCCAGATATATCTACAAACAACCGTAGAGGATCTGCCAAAAGCAATTTGTGATATAAACAAGGACTTAGCGTGTATTCTTGACTGGATTCTATCTTATGGGTTAACTGTTAATCCGATAAAATCCCAAGCTATTATTATTGGTAGTTTAAGAATAATCTCCAAATTAAATAAAACTCAGTTAAACCCTATAACATTTAACGGTGTTCAAATTTCTTGTAAGAATGTAGTTAAAAACTTGGGAATCTTGATAGATTCTAATCTTTCTTGGTCTCCTCAAATCAACGCAGTGTCTCGTAAAATGTTTGCAGCTTATGGTTCACTCCGAAGAATGAATTACTTCTTACCCATCTCCACAAAATTATGTTTGCCCAAACTTTACTGCTCCCCATTCTCGATTATGCTGACATAAGCTATCTAGACATTACCGAAGAGCAACTTAACAAACTTGAGCGACTCCAAAATCTATGTATAAGGTTCATATTTGGACTTCGTAAACATGACCATGTATCAGAATACCGCACTAAGCTCAAGTGGCTTCCAATCCGTTTTCGTCGGAATACTCATATCCTTTCTGCTCTCTACTGCATTTTATTTAATATATCAAGTCCTCTACCTTAAAGAACGTTTCCAATTTCTCAGCTCCTCTCACAAACTTTCCCTTCGATCCTTAGAAAACCTTTCCCTTCTATCTCCCTTGCACTCTTCTACATTTTACAGTAAATCTTTTTTCAGTCCTTGGAGTTAAGCTTTGGAATTCCTTACCATCAACTATAAAACGTGCTACAATGACGTGCAAACAATAGACTCCTTTAAAAACCAAGTTAAAAAACATTATCTTTCCTTCTAAATCATCCCTCCTCCTTTTATCTATTCCTGTCGTTTTATGATCAATAGCCTGTCAATTAAGTAAATTCCGGCATGTTTATTAAATTTCTTTTATATTTATGGATTACAAAATTCCATTATTTAACTTTTCACTTATTTTTATTTCCTATTTAGGTTGTCTGGAAGAAATTGCTGCATAGCAATAAGACCGCCTTTTGTTTTTCTCTTTGTTTGTTTCTTGTTATGTTGTATTTTTTAGTGTTCAATAAAGGGTATTGTATATTGTATTGTATCTTCCTAGACTAATGTAGTGGAATAATTATAATTGTAAACTGAATGTACAGGAGCACACTCGTGAAGAAAATGTTCATGTTATTTGTGAGGTATTGTCGTGTGGTGAAGATCACTGATCGCAACTGTTGTGCAATTAATGTAACATTAAGAAAATATTCATCACCAAGGAGATAAACCTGTAGGCAACTTAAAAAGAGCTGCTGGAAAAATGTAAAGAGTTCTCCGACTAATTTCGCGACATTCGCATTAGATCTTCAGTTCCTGTTGTATTGTTGCTTATGTTAATTTTTTACAGTAGGTTTAAGGTGTGGCTGGGGTGGCCTTCGGGCCACCCTAAAGCCGCGAACATTATAATGACATAAAATATAATATTGAAAAATTGAATTTTTTAATTTAAAAAATTCAAAAATGTAACATTTTTGATCAACACATACTAATAATTATTTCCCTATATTAGTCCCGTAAGATATTACTAAACTCGTGCTCGTATCATAGTTCTATTCCTAGTAAGATAGTTATGAACGAGTTTCATATAACTATATTACGGTATATAACTATATCCCTAGGGATATAACTATATCACTGCTTTAACCATCTTACAGCGACATACACTTATTTTTTGACATTACACTTAGAGAACAAAACAGCACAATAATTCAATTTAGAATTTCAATTGACTAGACACACGTATCGAGACTATGAAGCTTGAGGAAATCAGACGTGAATAAATTTAATTCTCAATATAATATGTCGATCATATTTACGTTTCACTAGCAGCAAATTAGCTATATAACATAATATTACTGCTGCTATTCTCTTAGTATTTTTTTTAATTTTCGACGTTAGAAAATAAAATTTATTTTCCTTACGTAATTTTTTTAATCTTACAATCGTTTCGAAATAATGTTTCTGAATGGAGAAGAAAAGGCGAAACAACCCTTGAGGTATCCTCTTTCAGCCTATAACACAACTCAACACAAATAATATAATTAATGAAAATTAATACACCCATCCATATATTATCGTAGTATGTTCTTTGTATGTTCTTTAATAAATGTTATTATGTATATGTATATACAAAAATTTGCTAGTATTTTGTAAGTAATCAAGAGAATGATGAAACGTAATCTATTCTTTAGAAAGAATTTCATGAAGTATGTTAATATCTTGTATGTTTTAATATTAAAACAAATGGTCAAATTAAAAAAGTTGTAGAAACCGACTTCAATATAAATAATATGAAAACATCATAAATGTAGTCGAAGTCAATTAAAAAACGAATTATAAAGTCTTTATAGCTCATTATAACTCAAAAACTACTGGTCAGACATTGATCAAATTTATATGGGACCACATGAAAAGCACCAGCTTTCAAATAAAAAAAAAATCGCCGACACCGGTTCACCTAAAAAAGTTCTGAGGTAACACACATAGAAAAATTACAGTCGAATTGAGAACCTCCTCCTTTTTTGAAGTCGGTTGGAAAACAATTTACACATTAAAGAACATAGCCTTTCAGATATAATAATAAGATTAAAATTCCAGGAAAGCTCGATCCCTTCGATAAACTTCTTCCGACTATTCCGTGTGATGAGGCTAGTGAAATTACTATCCAGGGGCGAAGGCATCCGAACTTTGCTGTGGACTTTCATCAAGTCATTCCAAGCGCTGCCTTACGTCGCTTTGCTCATTCTGATGTTGTTTTTCATTTACGCCGTTGTAGGGATGCAGGTATATTTTTTCTGTTTCATTACTCGTAGTTTTCAAAATGTAGCTTACTAATAATTATTATTATAATTTAATATACATTATTTCTATACCTGTCTCTTTCTATTGTCGTTTAGTGAACAGAGAAAAAGAGCAACTTTAAATTGACATTTATTTTAATGAGTAAGGCTATGAAATGTAAGTCACGTGGAAGCGATAGATTTTAGAAATCAATTTGTTATGTATTTTCTCCAAGCAGAAAAAAAAATCACGATATAAGCTTTCAAGAGAATTGTATTATGGTTTTACTCTGTGAAATCAATTCTTTTTCTACATAATTTGTCGAACTAAATGCCGAAATTCGACTATAAATAATCTGTATTATTAAAAAAAGGAAACTAGCAACGTTTTTAAATTTACTAACATTCCCCTTACCCAATCCCAGTTAGCTCGAAATTCTTGTCGTAGTAGTAACAGTTGAACAAAGGAATCAGATTTAAAGAAGAAACTCCGAGGCGGCTCCATGGCTCGCTAAACGACTAAGCTCATACTTTAAGTGACCTTTAAAAACTATCAATTATCAATACTCAATATATTTTATTGACACGATTTGTTTTTTTAATATGAGCCCCGTTACGCACACAATAAACAGAAAGAGGTTCGGACAAGAAAAGATCAGGAATGGTAAACTAATGAAATTCCTAATGAAAATTTAACAAAACTTGTTTTGAAAATTTGAGTGAAATATATTTTTTGTGCTCACTGAAAACAATGCAATGTCGACAACTATTTGTAAATAAGTTTAAGCAACAGTAAAAAAAACACATGGTGACAAGGTCGATGTTTTTTCAGGTTTTTGGTAAAATAGCGATAGATGACGCTACTCCAATTACAAGAAATAACCACTTCCAAACTTTCCCTCAAGCTATCCTCGTGTTATTTCGTTCTGCGACTGGTAAGTTAGTAATACCAATTATTTATAATATTAATTTTATATGGTACGAATGATCTGCCGGGTGGTAGCGGCTTACGAACAGCTAAAAGATAAAATGTGGGTCATCATCCCATTTTGTCCCATGGGTGTCGTAAGAGGCGACTACTGGAAATGTCAGAAAGTACAAACATCCCGTTTACGCCAGACGTAAAAATTTCCCAGATCGGATATTCCATATTAGCAGACTCTAACATTCATATCTGGTACTGATATTGTCGATCTACCATGCGTGATGAATCCTCTCTTAAACGGGAAACTCATGCCCAATGGAGGGCTTTTGCGAATGGATGAAGAAGATCAATATTAATAATGTCTTCAAGACGGCAAGTAGACGCAAGCACTGATGCACTCTCTATTCTTTTACTTATAATTGGATGGGACGGTAATCCGACAAGACCGAAGAGAGATCAGACGTAGGACCAACGTTTTTACGTACTTTCCCTGGTACGGAGATGAAACACCGTCAACTTCCTGACACCAGGCTGCCTGCTCTGGGCCCAACCCGGTATCCGAACCCAGGACCTCATGATCAGCAAGGTCGTAACGATCACTAGATCAACGAGGCAAAAAAAAATTATAAAATATAGATGGAATTTTATATTTATTAGTAGTATTCAATTAATTAGCTTTATTTTCAACTTACTAGCATTCATAATTTAAACCAAACAATTTATGTCTCAATATTCCGTCCATTTTAACATACCATTGAATGGTTCGACAGGAGAAGCATGGCAAGATATAATGATGGGAGTATCACCAGAGCCCGAGGTGAAATGCGATAAAAATTACGACGAGGAGGGAGAAGACAGCGGGGGAACCTGCGGGAGTGTGCTCGCCTTTCCATACTTCATCTCCTTCTACGTTCTTTGCTCATTTTTGGTAATCTCACCATTCTTTAAATACTATTTATGAACTTTCAGCATTAGCACTGTGAATATCATATTTACGAAAAACGACAAACTACACCCACCCGCCGCCCCCCCCCCCCCCCAACCCCACCCCAGGGAGACAGCCCCCCACCACCCCTGCGGCCGCCCAATACATATATATTACATATACATATATTAGCTATGGTAGAACAAGTACGTAGTTGTGGCATGAATGGATCGGCTCGACCCTGGAAGGATGAGTATAGAGAATCGGAGACCCTTTTTCTTAAAACGAAGCTCTCTATCTTAGTCCTCAGGTGTGACAACGCATCTATATTTTGATTTTTAATCGAGAATAGAACATATTTGTCTATCGGCCACAGCATTAAATTTTCCTAAAGTGGACTGTGTGCTTGTTAGTCGCCCTCGTTCCATAAAAAAATAACAATTTCTGGTGGAGCTTACGTGGTAAGGCTCCTTATTCACTCAAACAATTTTTTGCAGTACACTCATTCCTATGTTTCGATTTAAAGATTAAGAAAGTCAGTAGGATAGATTCACTGTCGCTCATTATATCTTGCAGGGCCACAACGCGTATGTGACCATTTGCTTGAAGTTGATTTCAGTTAAAGGTGTTTGCACTGCAGTAACTACTTAACAGCAAAGGGAAGGACACCTCCGTTGTGACTCCAATATTATAAATTAATACAATTGAATGGAATGATATATTTTTAGGGAAACCAAAAACTTTAAAAACAAACGAAGAATATTGCATCGAATTATTAACTTGCAGCTATCCTAAAAGTCCCCTTTATTAGAAAATACGTAGGGAGGCCTATGTTCAGATGTGAACTTTAAAAATATGCCATGATGATGCATATGACATTATAGAAATGGCACGTTTTCTTAGTAAAATTTTGTACAATTGTTTTATTAGGGATTACTTTTGTAATACGAGTAATTACCAACATTTTTTCTTTTAAAAAAACATTCAGAGGTTAATTAATAAATTAATATAACTATAAAAACAGTTCAGTTCTTTCAACGATGCCTTGATGACTGTCGGTATATCAAAGTGTAATGATAAAAATAAAGTGCATGATACCATAAAACTGTCAGAGTACAGAACCACAGTACAAAACCCATCCAACTGCAGAGAGGTGTAATATGGGGTGAAGTTATATCCTCGAAACTCTTCACCGCTGCGCTGCATTGGAAGACGTTTTCAAGCTGCTGGACTGGAAAGGATACGGTATCAATATCAATAGCTAGTACACTTCATTTTCGATTTGCCGACGATATAGTCCTTATGACAGAAACGCTGGAGGATTTAAGCACTATGCTCATTTACCTCAATAATGTCTCCCAACATTTAGTTCTTAAGACGACACATCGGAAATAAGTTATTCCGCCCCGCCTATTCCACCCCGCGCCCCACAAGCGACACTCGTCAATCGATTCCTAAAATTTTAAATTCGCGCCAAATGCTCAATCGGATGTCAACGTGCGGTAAACTTAATGGAACAAGCTATAATCGGAGTCGCGACACACGATTTTTTAATGTTTTTAATATTTTACATCATTTGTTTTCTTGTTGTATAATAACATGTACAAGTCATTATTGTTGTTTGTCAATTTATCCTATAAAAAAATCGTACCCAGAAGTGTATAATGCAGAGGCTTATTTTATTTACGAGTATATACGATTTTGTTCTCTATTCCCTTGTGGGTAAGTACTAGGTTATTTGAATTATCTAAATGGCCAAGTTGCTTGAATCATACTAAATCTAGGTAGGAAAGTAATGTTCTTTATAATTAACTACAAATATACGTGACTTTATCAAATATACTTTTTCTTAGTATTTCCCATTACCACAAACAAATTATTTAAGTACCTACTTACGAATAATAATTTCCTATAATTATAATAAAACTATTCTACAACTAAAGCTATTTATAATAGTAAAGGTATATCTATAAGAATAGAGAGTACAAACCACGGAGCAAATTGCTCCGTGGTACAAACGAACGACTTGCGCAGGTTCACCGTTGAAGCGGCTTGTCGCCGGACTGGCCCTCGTGAGTATATAATATCTATAAAAACTTTAAAAACGAAGTCATAAGGTCTAAAATTGCGTAGCGTTCGCGACGGTGAAGAGCGCTTAGAATTTTTTTTTATAGGATAGGGTGACAAACGAGCACACAGTCCACCTGATGGTAAGTGGTTGCTGTGGCCCATAGACATCTACATCTATCCTCGATTACGAATCAAAATGCAGATGCGTTGTCACCCGTGAGGACTAAGATGCAATGCCTCTTTTCCAGTAAAAAGGGTCTCCGGTTCTCTACACTCACCATACGAAATACAGCAGCATTAAGCTACTATTTCACGCTGGTATTCTGTGTGAGAACTTTGCTTTAAAAATTTTCAGAAACTTAAAAATTTTTAAAAAATTATTGAATTAAGTAGTCAAAATAATGAGCAACTAAATTATGAATATTGACGTTATGAATATATTTGAGTGATTCCAAAGCTATAGATTAAGTAAATTCGTTGTAATTACAACTATAGTGATATTTTAGAGGTGTTTTCGCAAATAATTATGATCGAGTCAAAATTATACAATCGTGTTTTTGAGCAAGCAAATTCAAGATAAAGACATGAATTTACCTACATCAAAATTCTAGTTTCGTTAGTCGAGTCATAGTCCCATACTATTCGATGAAAGGAGGTACATTTTCTCGTGGTATCGTCTTAAAATGAACTTTGACAAAATAAAGGTCATGTGTAACGTTCATGAGTTGTTGGAAGCACTGTGCTCGAAGTTGTCGACGAGTATGTTTATCTGGAACATATAGTCCGACTAGGTAAGTCCACCTTCAACTCGGCTGGGCAACGCTCGCAACTTGAAAACAAGATTGTACAACCAGTGCGTATTGCCAGTGATGACATACGGATCTAAGACTTGGTTCTTCACTTCTGGCCATATAAGGAAGCTCAAAGTCACTCAGTGCGCTATGGAGTGGGCTATGCTCGGGGTTTCTCTGTGCGATAGACTTAAAAATGAGGATATCCGCAAAAGAACCAGAGTAGCTATGGAGACATAGCCTCACGGATTAGTAATATGAAGTAGTAATAGACCGGCCATATAACTCGAAGAACCATTACCGATGGAGAAGAAAGGTTCTCGAGTGGAAGTCTCGTACCGGTAGATGAAGTGTAGGTCAGCCCTCCAATAGGTGGAGTGACGACCTGGTAAGACATGCATCAAGTCTATGGAGGTGGCTCAGGACCATGCTTTGTGGCATGCCTTGAGGGAGGGCTATGATCAGCAGTGGACTTGTGAAGGGTTGTAATTAACCAAAAAAACTATAAAAACAAATACTGCAGTAATGGAACAATCTTATGTCACTTAATTTCAGATCATCAATCTATTCGTCGCCGTCATCATGGATAACTTCGACTACTTAACTAGAGACTGGTCAATATTGGGACCACACCACTTAGATGAATTTATAAGGTAACGGTCATGATCGACCAGCTTCGTTGTTTTCGACTATCGCTCTATTTCACTTTATCGTTCTGAATTCGCTTCCTTATGCATTACTGTTCAAGCCTTAGGAATTTACAGGCAGCCCGTAAAGTTAAGACGTACGAGCAGCAGTCACATATTTCGTACTCATTTCTCACAAGTTGTACAAAATTGCTGAGTTCGTTATTATCTAAGTTCTTTTATCCTCGTATTAAAACAATGTGTCTATATTTGATAAGTATATATTATGGATATGTATGTAATACATTCATTACTTTTATTTCCGTATCATATAATGATTGTAAATCACCTTAAATGTTACATCATTTCCCTAAGTGTTATATTATCTATATATATATATATATATATATATACTGACTGACTCATCAAGATATCTCCAAAACTATACACCCGATTGACTTGAAGTTTAGCATAATTACGCATTTCGCAATGTGCACACTCACTGAGAACGGATTTTACAATAGTTCTCATCAAAAAAATCTTGATATTTTTGATGTAGGTTCTTCAATAAAATATTATCGTGAAGTAGAAAATATGATCTTCAAAACCATATATTTGAGCGGGTATCAGCTAGTAAATAATAAAAAGTCACAACTTGTTGTTGTTTTATCAAAACGTCGTCGAACGTCAAAATTTATATGCCTTATCTATATTACAACTGTCGCTTTATCTTTACGCCTTTGGTTGTCAGGAAAAGATCGCTATCAGGTTCGCTAGGGTTATTTTTCGAAGAGTAGCCAAATTTTAAACTTCAGTTCAAAATTATAAATAATGATATACCGTTATTGCAGTTTTTGAAAATACAAGTATAATAAGGCTTTTACTTTTATTTGAAATTATCCCAAATTGAATTTGTTTTATGGGCAACAACGTGTTTGCTTACCGATCGATCTTTACGAATGTGTGCGTGCGCAGTAAATTCAGACAGAATATTTGAAATTTTATTAATGAATTTTTCTTCACCATTTGCCTATTTTACTTATTCTGAACCTTATCAGCAAGTTTGGCTGGTTATTGCAAAATGACCCTGTATAGCGATAGGGTCGCCAAATTGTTTTATCTTTTTATTTTGTGGTAAACATTAAAAGTATACTCATTCATTATTTGATTCAAAATCTGCACCAATTCTCAAACACACGGCCTCACAGCAGAACCTGCGAAAGACTTGAAGACTTGTTTTAAATGCCATGTTACCGTTTTATTTATTCATTAATATAAATATGTTCAATCCGTAAAGCTGAGGGCCTCTCACAGAGGTCGCAGATTGTCTATAACCGTAATGTTTAAGTACCTATTAATGTGTAATTTTATACCCTTGTGAAGAGGAAATAAAGAATGTTTTTGTGTTAATTTATTAGAACTTACAATAATACTTTTATTTAGTAAAAACTTATAATAAATAATAAGATATAATTCATGCTTCGTTTTATATAATATTAGTTATAAAAGATATATTAATCAGTAATTTAAATCTTTTAGGTTATGGAGCGAATACGACCCTGACGCGAAGGGTCGAATCAAACATTTAGATGTAGTTACTTTGTTAAGAAAAATTAGTCCACCGTTAGGTAAGCGCTTAAAATATCTAACTTACTTTTTTATCTAGATTTTCTTACTAGACTTTTAATTTAATGTTTTAAATGTTCAGTAGGAAAACTATCAGCATTGAACTAGATTTAATCTTTCTTATATTGTATGAGATTGACGTGTAAGAATATTTACTGTCATATAGGTAAGAATATTTACTATGCCCTGTAGGTATTGTAAGAGGCGACAAAGGGAAAATACTCGTAGATCTTAACTCTTCTAGTTATGCTACTCGATACCAGAAGGCGCTAGTGGTAACTAGTGTTGCCATGTGCCAGGTATTAATTATGGCGCGCAACAATACCAAAAGGTGTACAGCAGCATATTCGTACCCGTCTGTCAACCGGAATACCAAGCATGGCAACTATGACAAATTTCCCCGGTATGAGACAATCTATGCGGGAGACCTAAGTTCAGCAGTGGATATTTGAAAGGACTACGCTTTCACAGAATACCAGCGTAAAATTTGCCGCACAATACTGGTGTGTTTTGTATGGTGGATGTAGAGACCTGGTGATTATTTTTACTGGAAACGAGGCATTCCATTTTATTCCTCAGTGGTGACAACGCATCTGTATTTCGATTTTTGATTGATAATAGATGTAGATGTCTATATGCAACAGAATCCACTTACCATTAGGTGGTTTTGTCTCCCTTATTCTGTATATAAAAAACTTAGAACGGCGATACGAATCAATGTCAAGGAAACTCACGTCTGATACTGTGATCATCAATCCAATTGCCAAGCGTAAATCTTAAAGCAAATTCTTCCTACATAGAGAGGGACTGTCCACTTTTATGAACTAGTGAAGAAGACGTTTTATATATGGTACAGCCACGGTCCAGCCATATTTGGTCGCAGCATGAATTGGTCGGCTCACCTGGGGTAGGATCACGCTCTTACAGAATACCAGCGAAGCATCCGTCTCAGTCCTCAAAGGTGACGCATCGGCATTTTTGTTCTTAATTGAGTATTTGCTTGTAGCCCTTAATTTATTTAAAAAAAAACTCCCAGTTCTAACTTTTATTTATTTAATATAAGATGTATTATCTATTTATTTAAAGAATTCCGTAATTTTTAACTGACTTTTTGAAGATTACCTGTAAGAGTATTTGAAATAATTATGAAATTTTAAAACGTTGTCCAGGTTTCGGCAAGCTGTGTCCGCACCGCGTGGCTTGCAAACGACTAGTGTCGATGAATATGCCGCTGAACTCTGACGGTACCGTCTTGTTCAACGCAACACTGTTCGCGGTCGTCCGTACATCATTGAAGATCAAAACTGAAGGTAGGTTTTAGTTATGGTAGGCTATTTAACGAACTGGTTAAAAAACAGTTATTTTTGTAACTAGTTTTAGAATAAATTGTTCGTTAAAAACGAAATGGGAAATTATAACTGTTTTCTCGTAGGTAAAAAACATAACGAACCGTTGTCACAACAATCCTTTTTGTGATTCTTTGTAGTTGATGAAAAAATTGGTTTCCAACATTAATTATTACTCCACTAAGTAGACGATCCTTTAGTTAAAGACATTTTAACAGTTAGTTAATTTTATTGAACCTAGTGTAGTTACACTAGCCGTGTCTAGTACACGGTTTAAGAAAGTCCACTTTTCAATATCGTCCTTTGAGTAAGTGGCAACTGAGGGAAAATAAAACAGGAGATGGGCAGCACCATTTTCCTGATAACAACAGACCACTTCAGCGGACTTCAAACTAAAACTACAGATGCGTTATCACCTTTAAGGACTAAGAGGGAATGCCTCACAAGCCGTGAGGCATTCCGTCTGTCATAATATCAGCTGTGAATCACAGCCTGTAATTATACTGAATCTCTATACCAATATCCGGAATACGGCAGTGCAAGCTCTGCTAATCGTCGGGAAAATAAGTTAGAGTGTGGTCTACCTAGACGAACTCCTAGGTATAAAAGGATACTACTATTTAGAATTCGTAAGAAACTTTTATTTAGATACGTTGCCATCCCTAATGGGGAATTACCTACTTTACCTCACTTACTTTTTACGTGGATATCACGCATGGCGTATTATTTCTACTGCACGAATGCATCGGCCTCGATCGGGAAAGGACCACGCTCGTACAAATAGCGCGTGAAATAGTAACATACTCACTGCTGCGTTTCGTATGGTGAGTGTAGAGAACCGAAGACCCTTTTACTGAAAACGAGGCATTCTATCGTAGTCCTCAGAGACAACTTAATTTTTTTTTGATTCTGCATTAGTGATAGGTGTACGATTTAATGGGCCAATTATCGTGAAGAGAATTTAACATTGTTCCTCTGTTGTAGGTAATATTGACGATTGCAACACCGAGCTAAGAGCAGTGATAAAGAAAATATGGAAACGAACATCACCGAAATTGCTAGATCAAGTGGTACCACCACCCGGTGATCCCAATGAAATCACGGTCGGAAAGTTCTATGCTACATTCTTAATCCAAGATTATTTCAGAAGGTAATATAGTATATATTTATAGTTATGATTAAGTGTTCTTTGATATCATGATAGTTTATGGTTGGAACCAGAAACGCATGCGTTTCAGGTTTACTTTTTTAGAACACTACCCGAATTTCTATAAATTAGTATTTATAGTATACAAATTAATATATTTAGTTGATATTTTCTAATATCAAAAACTTCGATCGTAATATTTGATAAATAGTTGTAATAATAATGATAATGATATCGATGATGAAGTAAATATATACGAGTAGTAAGGGACTCAATAACTATTCAACAAAACTGAAAAACTTCTAAATTTAAATCATAAGATCAGTATTTTTGAAATGGATTGCTCTTGTTAACATCAATTTAATAACAATGATTTAATAATTGAAAATATAGTTCACGTTCTTCCAAAGTCCACATTCTCGATTTATCGGTGAACATAATGAGAACATAATGAGAATGCGTAAGTAGAATTTGAATATGCATTCACCAACCTACAATAAAACAGCGTGCTGAACTCTTTTTTCCAATTCCTTCTCAACTTCTGATAGCACTTTCGATAATACATGGATGTATACTAGCAGAATTAGTATCTCATGTCAATATTTTTTAAATTTTATATCTGCATTTATAGTAATAATATTTTACATTTAATTGAAATAGTGATAATCAATTTATAACACAGTTCAAGTTTTATAACATAAGTCAATTTACAACATATTTAATAAAACAAATGTTTAGTGGTGGTATAAGAATACCCACTTCCCCATGTCGTTCTGTGGGTGCGTTAGAAGGCGATAGAGGGAAACTAAATCAAGTGATGCGTAGCAGCATTCCTGATAACAACTAAATGAAAATAAAAAGCTGCGGTTGCCAACCCGCTTGCCAAGTGTGGCAACTATGGCATATTTCCCACCTATGAAACAATATATGATAATGGTCCACGTTTAACGGTGAACTTTTGATGGTAAAGTAATAAAAAAAAATAAAAAAGGTAAAGTAATTTTAAAGGACTGATGATCACTAGTTGGTCATTAACCCGGACTTTTTAAAAGTCTGTCATCAATCCACTGATGGGCATAGAGCTCTCCCCACTTCTTCAGAAGCATTCATAATGTCGTGGATATAACACGAAAAATTAAACGCGGCAAAATTCATAGAAATGAATTTTAAACTCTATTCAGCACGAGTGTTCAAAATTTAATTTTTGAAAGACACAGAAATTTCAAATACATCGTGAAATTATTAAAATGCATACAAATACAAAATGTATATATACTTGTGAATAACACTGAGAAGTTTCCCTTCCATGAGTAATCTGAAAATTCTTTTATGACCATGTTTGTTTTGAAACTGATTTAAATATTTTTGTTCCATAGGAACCACGCGTAAGTAACGAATCATAGAAAACCGACGTATGTGTTACTGACAGTATGTCCCCTCTTAGTGTTTTTGAATCTTTAAACGCAAATCATACATAGTTTTCAATTCAAAATAGCAAACACTAGAGAGAACACAATCGTTAGGAGTTTTTCCCGGTTTCAGTTGATTTTTAGAGGCTTTCGGTTGATCCCTGCATGGTCCTAAAATCGATTATAAAACATGTTAATTTTCTTACCTTTAAATGATTTGAAACTACCCTTGTCATCCAACTTTGCCTAAACTTACAGTATCAAGCATGCAAAATACAAATCAAGGTCTATATTTAATGTTATACCTTTGTTTATTCCTTACTTCATATTTATATCGTGTACATGATGTGTTTTGTGTTGTTTTTCCTTTAATTTAGATTTAGTATCGAGGAATATTATTTTCACGATTTCGACACACAAGTTTAGATTATCAATTCTAGTATACAAGACAGTTCAACGTTCAATAGATTCAATTCCTGCCTTAAAAGATTATATAGATATTTTATAAAACTTGATATTGACGACATTTTAGTTTTAAATTCACGTATAATATTAGATAGCAATCAAGATTAGTTGGCTTACATTAACCTGCACAGGAATCTAGTAAGTACTAATACAATAAATGCACTGAAAAAAAAACAATATAAAATGTCTGACTTGGCATTCAAATACAACATTAAATTAATCTCCTTGGTGCAGGCCTTATCTAATTCGAACTATTCCAAATAAAACACACATTAATCAATAGTTTGTATAATATTTATAATATATAAACTATTGACTAACATTAACACATACCTACATCCAATTCAACTCCAAGACCTGTTCGTCTGTTCCATCTACAAAGCATGATAGATCAATGCAAGTCTTATGTTGTTAATTATAAGGTTCAAAAAGCGAAAAGAGCAAGAAATGAGACAGAGTGACGAGCAACATCACCAGATGACGCTCCAAGCGGGTCTTCGAACACTACACGAAGCTGGGCCAGAATTAAAGCGAGCAATCTCAGGCAACCTGGACGATATTACAGCGGAAACAGATATACCTATGCATAGGGTAAGGAATACTTGAAATTATTAATATGACCAATATTTGTCTCAAGACTTGCCAGATTTAAAATATGACGATAGTGATTTTGCCAAATGCCAAATATATAAACACATACAGTAACTTTTACTCCCCACGCTCTACGAAGAATTTATGTTGGCTAAACAGACCAGTTCAACCTAATCGGACACTCAAATTGCGTAACATTATTAAGAAGTGTTCCCAAAATTTAAAAATATAATTCACAGAAATTTGAAAGAATATTTTGATCGTAGGACGTTAGAGGGTTTTTGGTATAAAACATACAAAATCAATCGTTTCAATTGCCGTGGTTTAAGGATATAAAGCTAAGTAGAAATCATTTATAGTTAGCTTTAATACTTTGTTCAGGTCACTATCCATCAATAAAATTTGGTTTCTTGATGAAGATAACTGTTTCTCATACCTGGTAAGAGTGTGGATGTGGAATTTTAGATGGATATCCAACATTTATTGATAGAGATTGAAAAAGAGACGCGCTGATGAGGAAATTGAAATTAAAGCACAATGTCATGGGCGTGGCCCAGACTATATTGTGGAAACCTACATCAGTCACTAGGATCTTTTCTTCTTTATATTAAGAATTTTCAGTCACAAATCCTTAGATGTGAGCTTTTTAGATAGGAACTGATGGGGCTGGCAAATATCTAAAGATAAAAGCTCCTAAACAAGTGTAACGTCCCTTACCGAGCCCACTACTCACTTCTGTAGCGTACTTTGCTTTGTCACTCTATCCCAATTTATTCTTTCTGCATTTCCAAAGCACCGGAGTGGAGACAGAAGCTCAAAACTTCAAATAAAAAAATACCTGTGGCACTCGGGGACTGCCGCGGTAAAGCTATTGCATAGCATTTTTATCAACTTATGCAATTATAATTATTTATTTATTTTATTTATCCAGTATTTTTTCTTTGTTTTTTCTTTGATATTATTTCAAGTTACACTTTTTGAGCGTGGTGACCGATAAGAAACATATTTTTTTATTTTATTGAATAAATGAGAAGTTAATATTGTTTAAAATATTTTTATTATCTTACAGGTTTATGGTAATTAACGAGTTCTTCCGACAAATGATAATCCTATACCTTTAAACGAGCAATTCTTGAATATATATATATATATATATATATATATATATAATCGGAATCTCGGAAATGTCCAACGATCATAATAAGTGTCGGAAAGAAGAAAAAAAAACGGGGGGAAAAAAACTGCCCCCCTCTTTTTTTTTTTTTTTTTTTTTTTTTAAATTTTTTTAATTAAACTAATTGCACTCATGATTTTTTATTCAAATAACCAGTTTAGTTTTTTCTATTATGTCAATAAGATCAAAAAATATTATTCATGTAATTTGTATTTAAATGTAATTAAAAAAAAATTCTATAAAGTCTGTGTTTATTAAATACTCTAAATTCACGAAAGTTGCTATCATGACGACGACTCATATAAATCCAAAGAATATGCTTCTTGCAATAAACTATAGTTTAAAATATTTTTATTATCTTACAATACATGCAACTATAATATAGTCTACACGCATACGTCTAGTCGCATGCACACAAACACCGTGCCGAAGTCTGCCGAAATGAAACGACATTAGACGATGTTAGATTTTGGGGTGTTAAGTTTTTTTTTTTCCTTACGGAATATCTCGATTCGGTCGCCGCGCTCAAAGCCCGCGATAAAAGCTATGCAACAGCTTAACAAAGTTAGTTATTCACATCATAGATTTACACGTCATGTAGCAACAACCATATATAATCCCATGGGTGTCGTTAGTGCCGACAAGGGAAATAAATCAGCATCTGCCTGATAACGGAGTGCTGAGTGCTAAAATCAACAGTGAAATTTTTGCAGGCTGTATTGATGATAATGATGATGATACGGCTGGAAAAGACATTTACCAATTTAATATTTTCCAAGATACTTCAAAACGCGGTGCGTTTTTTTACTTTAGTTGCCCCGGGTGGCGGCAGCTAACGCTAAACCTCTGTAGAGATGTCTCGTATTGAACTGTCAAGAACCCTAGCCTTATCCCGCAGAGTTTAGCAGCTTTAATAAGTTATAATGGCAGTGATAATAATTAGTAAAATCATCTAATTTTAACAGAGGAACCACTCGCTATTTGGAGGTGTCTGGTCAAGTATACGAAGACATGGACCCAATAAACACTTTCAGAGACATCGTAAGCATGGCGATGGACCTCCAGGTATTTTGTCATTTATTAATAAAACTGCACCGATTATTCAAACCTTAATGAATAAAATTAAAGAATTTTTTATCATTGCAGATGGCGTAGGAAATCACCTTAGTTCTATGATGCAGAAAGAATATGGTGTGGGACCTTTGCCGCTGGCGCCAAATTTGTAAGTTTCTTGCCCAAAAATCTAATAACTTATATTAAACACTTATTAGCTTGCAAAAACATATATATATATATATAGCTCGAAAAACACTGTCGAGTGAGAGTCTCGTACCGTTAAACGAAGCCAGGGTGGCGCTCAGTAGATGGAGTGACGACCTAATAACAGATGTAGGAAGTCTATACTTGCAGAGGGCTCAGAAAAGTGCTTGATGGCATTACTTGGACAGGCTCATTTTCAGCAGTGGACTTTTGAAGTCCTGTAATGATGATAAATGATGAAAGACAAACAGTTTTAAAAATATGTGAAGAGGTCTTTTTATATTATAGTTTTTCTAGAAGAAATTCAAGATTTTGCGAAATATGTTTTTTACCTAACATTGTTTCCTTAACAGGGTCAACGGCCAAACGAAGGAACAGATACCATTAAGACCACTAATATTAAATGGAGAGTCTGAAAAAATCTACCAGGTGCTTGAGTAAGTAAATTTTTATTTACCCGCACATTGATATCATCAGTTGCTGAGTAATTTTTATTATTATTAAAGGGCAGTGATCATAATGAGTATTGCTTATATTACAGAAGAACCACAAACGATCTTAAGAACGCTATTTACAAAGGTAGTTAAACGTGTGATCTTGCCTCGAGTGATTTTTCCCTGTAGTTGCTCTAAATCACATTTCCCTGAATCTAACCAATTTTCTAACACAACTTTCTTTTTGTCCTCTTGCTTTCGCTCGGATCACGGTATGTATTAATAGCAATCAGAAATCCAACTATCCCGAAATGCTCGGTCAGATAGGATTAGCGTTCGGCTGCGTCAACTACCTATCGACTCCGGACACTGTCAAACCGACACCTACGGTTTCAAAACAGAAAATCCATCCGGAGGACTCGTCATCAAAGGAAAAGTTACCGATATTGACGGTACCGAAGAAAGCGTCTCCCGAGGACAAAAGTCCATCGCCGCTGGAGCACGCGATACAGCCGAAGATCTCACCGCTGCTGGCCAGCGCGTGCACGCCGACCACTGAAGCGAGGACAATGACGCTGTACGGCTACAATGCAGCCGCGCGGCTGCCGTTCGCGTTCTCGCATGCGAGGGAGCGTGTGCGAGAGAGACGGAGCGTGCGCGTGACGTCAGGTCGGATGGTGCGCAGCGCGTCCTCGGGGGCGGCTACGCATGCGCCGCCCGCCCGCACGGTAGCTCAGCGCAGCCCGCAAGGTCCGCACGACGCGGTTGACGAAGTTTCCATGAACGCGGATTCTGTTATTTTCCCTAAGTGCACGTACGCACTATATAGTTGCGCGCATTGCAGCGGTCCGGTCCCTTCTGGACCGGTCGATCGCAAGCAATAATACTGTGTTTTTATTTGTTATAAACTAGCGAATTCTTATATTGTTCCTTAAGGTTGCGTACGCAGTATGCGGTTACCCGTATTGCGGCAGTCCCGTCCGATCCAGACCGGTCGACCGCAAGCAATAATAAAATGTTTTTTTTTTTAACTTATTAAAAGCCAGTGCTAGAATTTAATTTCACCACCATCGCACTGTCTTAGCGTAACAAACCCCTCACTATTGTCTTAAATACTCTCGGTTATAATCGGACGAAAAGACATGTAAAACTTAGTTCTATTTACACTCCAATGCGATTTCCGCTCAGTCAGAGACAAGCTGCCCGCGGCACGAATACTATTTGCACTATTGTGTGCGTTTAGGTTACAGCTACCCGTCATCGATATAGTTTGACAACCGTGATACATGTATTAATAAAATTGAATTCGATTTCTCTTTATCTTCTTTATATGACGTAAATGTGTTTATTATAAATGATACTTCTTCCACGTCCGTCTTTAAAATGGTTTGTCCTGGCCGCAAAGTTTCAACGGTTTCTCGACCTAATGCTACCGCAAGCTTGGGACGCGGGTAACTGTATTATTGCGTATGTGCTCTTACACGCGAGAATTCTATATGTTCGTGTCGGTTCAAATTTCTAATCTTCTTTCCCAAATGTCACTCTTGTTTTAGAAAATCATCCAATGAAACACTACAAAATTAAATGTTTTCTAGCAAATTCCTCAGAGTCCTACTAGCATTAGATACTAGTAGGACTTGTCTATTCCTAAGACTCCGTCTGAGTACGTATTGCCTCTTATCTATTTCTGCCACTAAATAGCTTTGCTTGCCGTGCCGTGTAGTGGCGCTTGAGAACATCCACTACCCCATATCTTCCCGTGAGTGTCGTAAGAGGCGACAGAGGGACACAGAAAGGAGATGGGCAGCAGCATCTTCCTAATAAAACAATAACATAATAAAAATCTGCGGTTGCCAACCCGCTCGCCAAGCGTTTCAACTATGGCAAATATCCCCCCATGAGCAACGACGCAAATAAACGGCCCCCAGTCCCCGGTGGCCCCGCTATTCCTGACTACGGTGGCGACCATGGTAACAGCGGGGCAGGGGATGCTAAGAATCTCCGGGGGAGGTTCGGTTGCCACCTACGACGACTCGACCTGGCAACGTATAACGCACGCACCCTGCGGACTGACGAGAAAATACTGGAGCTGGAAGAAGAGGTAGACAAGTTGCGCTGGCATATTATTGGATTATCTGAGGTCCGAAGAGAGGGGGGAGGACACGGTAATCCTCGAGTCCGGCAACTTGTTCTATCACCGGGAGGGCTACCATCTGTCCCAAGGAGGTGTCGGATTTATCGTCCACAAGTCTCTCGTCAACAACGTTGTAAAGATTGGGAGTGTGTCGACGAGGGTCGCGTACCTGATACTCAGAATTACCAAACGGTATTCGCTGAAGGTCATACAGGTCTACGCACCAACCTCGGCACATCCCGATGAGGAGGTGGAAGAAATGTATGAGGATATTTCTAGAGCCATGCATTCCTCCAAAACCCACTACACGGTGTTGATGGGAGACTTCAACGCAAAACTAGGCACAAGAGAAGGCGGTGAGCTGGAGTTCGGGAAATTTGGAGTAGGGCAACGGAACCGTAGGGGCCAGCAGCTGGCTGACTTTATGGAGAAAGAGGGACTCTTTATGATGAACTCTTTCTTCCAGAAGCGGCCCCAAAGGAAGTGGACCTGGTCGAGCCCCGACGGTTCGACAAAAATGAGATTGGTTTCATTATGACGACCAGACGCCAACTATTCAGTGATGTCTCAGTGATCGCAAGGGTGAAAACCGGCAGCGATCACCGAATGGTTAGAGGCACACTGAACCTAAACGTTAAGTTGGAGAGGTCTCGTCTAATGAAGTCAACGCTCCGTCCCCCCCCCCGAATCCCGAGACTTTTCAGCTCGAGTTACGTATCTGCTTCCAGTGCCTAGAAGATTGCAATGCAGTGGACGATATGAATAACAAGCTCGTGGAAACTATACATGCGGTCGGAACTAAGTTCTGCAAGACCCGCCGCAGAAGAACACAAAAACTCTCCGATCACACTCTTAATCTCATAGCTGTTAGACGGGAGATGAGGCTGCAATCGTCAACAGATTTGACAGCATACAGGCAACTGAACAGACAGATCTCCAAATGCGTGCGGCGAGACTTACGCAACTTTAATACTGCTCGTATTAAAGAAGCGATCGAGCGGAACCATGGCTCCAAAGTCTTTGCCAGAGATCTGTCTGACAGAAACAGCCAACTGTCAAAGCTGAAGACAGCTTTGACAGTTGGCAGCATCGTTTCCGGGACACCTGAGATTTTGAGTGAGATTGAGAGGTTCTATGGGCAGCTGTACACATCATCGTTGGATCCACACGCAAGTGTGAGTAACGATCCAAGAGCAAGTCTTACCCGACACTATTCCGATGATATCCCGGACGCCAGTCTGAGCGAGATTAGAATGGCTCTCCTGCACCTTAAAAACGGCAGGGCCCCAGGCGAGGATAGAATTACAGCGGAGCTTCTGAAAGCGGGTGGAACACCGGTACTTGGAGTCCTTCAGATGCTCTTCAATTCCGTCCTCCATGGTGGCACTACTCCGGAGGCGTGGAGCAGAAGTGCGGTGGTCTTGTTCTTTAAGAAAGGCGACAACGCTCTCTTGAAGAACTACAGACCAATTTCCCTTCTGAGCCGCGTCTACGTGCTGTTTTCGAGAGTCATTACGAATCGTCTCGCACGCAGACTCGACGACTTCCAGCTTCCCGAACAAGCCGATTTCCGAAAAGGCTTCAGTACCATAGACCACATACATACCCTGCGGCAGATTGTACAAAAGACCGAAGAGTACAATCCGCCACTTTGCCTGGCGTATGTGGACTATGAGAAAGCCTTTGATTCCGTCGAAATTTGGGCGGTGCTACAGTCCCTTCAGCGGTGCCAAGTTGACTGTCGGTATATCGAAGTGCTGAAGTGTTTGTACAATAGGGCTACGATGGCTATCCGAGTACAGAACCAGAGTTCGAAACCTATCCAACTGCAGAGAGGTGTAAGACAGGGTGACGTTATATCCCCGAAACTCTTCACCGCTGCGTTGGAAGACGTTTTCAAGCTACTGGACTGGAAAGGATACGGTATTAACATCAATGGCGAGTACATCACTCACCTTCGATTTACCGACGATATAATCCTTATGGCAGAATCGCTGGAACACCTTAGCACTATGCTCACCTCAATAGTGTCTCCCAACGGATAGGTCTTAAGATGAACATGGACAAAACAAAGATCATGTTTAATGACCATGTCACACCTATGCCGGTAGTTGTTGGGAGCACTATGCTCGAAGTTGTTGACGAGTACGTTTACCTGGGACAAATAGTCCGACTAGGTAAGTCCAACTTCGACCGAGAGGTCAATCGACGGATTCAACTCGGCTGGGCAGCGTTCGGGAAATTACGACACATCTTCTCGTCAGGTATACCTCAATCTCTGAAAACTAAAGTGTGCAACCAGTGCGTGTTGCCAGTGATGACTTACGGATCAGAGACGTGGTCCTTCACTGCTGGCCGTATGAGGACGCTCAAGGTCGCTCAGCGAGCTATGGAGAGGGCTATGCTCGGAGTTTCTCTGCGTGATAGACTCAGAAATGAGGATATCCGCAGTAAAACCAGAGTGACCGACATAGCCCAACGGATTAGTAAGCTGAAGTGGCAATGGGCCGGCCATATAGCTCGAAGAACCGATAACCGATGGGGAAGAAAGGTTCTCGAGTGGCAGCCTCGTACCGGTAGGCGTAGTGTAGGGCGACCCCCACTAGATGGAGTGACGACCTGGTAAGACATGCAGGAAGTCGGTGGATGCAGGTGGCTCAGGACCGTGCTTTGTGGCGTTACTTGGGGGAGGCCTATGTTCAGCAGTGGACTTGTGAAGGGCTGTAATGATGATGATGATGATGAAATAGCTTTGCTTGTACTGCTGTGTTTCGCCCTGAAAGGTACGAGTATAAAGATCCAGCAAAATTACAGGCAGTGAAGCAATCCATCTTTGTCCTCAGAGGTGACAACGCACCTGTAGACTTCTTTGTTTGAATTTGGTCCCAGTTGTCCGTGAACCACAGTAACCACTTACGTCTAGTAGACTGTAAGATTGTTTGTCACTTCAGTTTTATAGAAAAAAATAGACTTCTTCAAAACCACCAATCGTCTTTCACTCGCAGTCATGGTGGTATGAATCTTGATCTCTCATAATTTCTAAGATGGCGACGCGTAGAAACGAGTTAGCAGCAAAATGTAGCGAGTTTTCCCTAAAAATGTTCTAAATCTACAATATCCTTAAATGTTCAAGGATATTGTATATGTAGTACATTTAGCGAAAACCCTTCAGAGTTCCATTTTCGTAAACCAAAAAAAGGAAACTTCCTTAACCGTTAATCAAAACTATCGCTGTTAAAACTTCAAGCTTAACACGCAGACACTGTTAAAAAAAGTTAAATTAGTACGATATTTACACACGACTACACTCAATCATATTCACGTTGCTTATACAAGTCATTTTATTTTACCACTTTAATTTAAAAAAATATCCACCACACTTCCAAATTTTTTTAAATATTTTTATAAAATAAAATCAATTAACCACATAACATTTTAACCAAAAATTATAAAGAATCAACCACGGAAACTAACCATTTTATGAAGCATGTTAATTAACTTATCATTGACAGCTAAATAGTGTTGCAATTAGCATAGAATAGAGGCTTTTTAGAAAAACGTTTGATTTTATTCAAAATTCAAATGAATGCATTTATGAAATTTGCACGAAAAGTGAATCGAAAACAAAAATAATTCACGAGGACTCATATCGATTTGTCGTTGTCTTGTCTTGTTTTAGAAAAATAAAAAAGTAACCATACAAGCTTTTATGATTAGAGGGCGATATATTAATAGAATAACATTTATTTTGTAGTTATCATGTCATAGTTATACATTCAGATAAAATATTGAACATGCTTTAGAAAAGAAAAAGCTACCAGCTACTTACTGGCTTGATAAAAATGTTACTTGTAGGTAATAGAAATTAGCAATAATAAAATAATGAAGCTATTTAAATATGAGAATTGATAGATTTTTTGTAGCTTAATGAAACTATTTACTATAGAAAGCCACAGAACTTTATATTTACTTTTAAAAAATTCGCATTTAGTTAAAAATGCTGAGAAGAATATTTAGATTTCATAAGCACATATTTGGTAAATAATCATAACATAAGCTGGCAACACAGGCGGAGATAACTGCGTGCGCGGCGTGGTTTCGCTGCCGGGCAGCCCGCGGGGAAACAGCGTCTCTGAACCCGTCGTGGGCTCCGCAGAAAGCCTCGTTACCAGGGCAAGTGTTTTACTTGTAAATTTAATATTTCTTACAGCAACCTTGCATGAAGAGTTCCTCCAGGCCGGTTTAGATCCATATGGATCTTTTACTAAGCACTAAGCTCCATTTATTTAGCTCACAGTCCACCTGATGGTAAGTAATGCTGTGGCCCATAAACATTAACATCTATCCTCGATTACGAATCCGTTGAGGACTAACCCCAAGTTTTAGCACGAATAATTCCAACTCGACCAGGGAAGAACCATGCACTCACAGAATACTGAACAAAATTCCTATGGGGAGACCTATTTTTAACAAGGGACTGACATTTGTCTACGACAGATTACATATTTCCTACTCATTGAAGATAGCTGTTCAAAATTAAAATCATCATCAAAAAATTTAGCTTCAAACATTATAAAATTCTTTTCATCGTTTGAGGAAGAAAAACATAATCCGAGAATTCCAAAACTGCTTGTAATCTAAAATAATCTAAAATTAAATTAAAACGACTAATTCATTTACGCAGGTATTAGCTGAGCAAGGTCTCGCTGCATACTGCGATCCAGAATTCGTGAGAAATACATCTAGAGAGATGCAAGAGGCGTTAGAAATGACCCAGGAGCAAATGGACAGGTATTATTACAATATTAATAAATTAATAAATCCCCAATTTTTTTTAAAGTTTTTCAAGAACTTTGATGTTTTGTTCCAGTTCCTTTAACGCAAGACTCATAATATGTCTGTAACGTGGCATAGAATTGATTTCACAACGAACGATATATTTATTACATTTAAGATATTTATAAAAATTTCTTAAAAATACCAAGAAACCTGCATTTCCGAAATAATAAAAATACTTCCGAGGTGCGTCTTTCACGAACTAAATAGCATATCTACGAGTTCTTTTACCCCCATAAGGGTACGAAAACATCTACATAATGTCCTCCAGACAGAATTTCGACCATGGCGCCCTCTCTCAACGAAGATTAGCCATCTGCGCAAGACAGGATCATAGTGCACGAGTGTATACTCAAGCACAGGTGCGCTCTCTATTCCCTCACTCTAATAGTCCGATGGAGCGGTAATCCGACAAGACCAGAGGGAGATTAGGCGCAGGACCTAAGGCTTGACGTGCCACCAGAAAACTTCTTCTTGACTCCAGGATGCTACTGGGAATTCCTTGGCAGAAAAACCAATAAGTTCTGATTTTGGTCTAACTCGAAATTCGAACCCGGGACCTATAATCAGAAATCATGTTTACGACCACTCATCGAGGCAGTCGTCTCCATCTTGCTGGTGGACATTAAGAGACTTCACAATAACACCATATAAATTTTCTTGCAGAGCCGCTCATCAGTTAATGTTACAAGAAAGAAATTTGAAGCAAGCACACAACCAACAATCACAAGTTGTAAGTAATCAAAGTTGTTTTGATAATACTAAATCCTCATGAACCAGGAAAATTTTCATGGCTGTAATTGGAAGACAATTCGTCGTTCTAGTATCTTTGTTGTGTTGTAGGGATCGTAGAATAGCATAGAATAGAATAGAATATTTTTTATTCATTATAGACTCTTCATATGTAATACTTATTGAAACTCATTTTTTTATTTATCACTGGTTCGTAAAATACATCTGTCCTGGGATAAAACAGCAAGTGTAAGGAAGAGTAACAGGCCACAATAGAAACTGGCAGTTAATCTTATGGGTTCTTCAAAGTAAACTAGGAGAAGAAGATTGTAGGTGGTAGGAGGAGAAGTGTCATACCCACAATACATACCATGAATCGCAACATAGACGCTTCTCCTTTAGTCTTTCAATAAAAATATGTTTTACGTGGTAAACCACGCTGCAGCTATATTGAGGTTGCAGCTTGAATGAGTCAGCTTCACCGGGGAAGAACCACGTTTTCACAGAATACGAGCGTAAAATAGTAGCTTGTGAGTGTAGAGAATCGACACCTTTTGCATTGGTAACGAGCATAGAATACTATAATACATGCATAATAGAACGGGGGAGTGTGCGAAGCCCGTTTAGCCACTAACATGTCAATTTACACCTATAAACAAAGATTTAAATAGTTAGATACGCCCTTACCATAGTATGACCACTCCGAAATGTGTTTATACTCAAAGGAGTGAGGTCACTCATTCACAATCAGTGCTCATTTGTGAGCTGTGACAGCTAGACGTTGCCATTGAAACTAACGCGCTGATTTTACCATCAAAAAAAACTCTCAGAATGATATCGTGAGCCTTTCAAAAGTGGAATAATAATTCTAGATACACAAATAAAGACCAAGGTGTAACATTTCAGTCGTAAGTATCCATATTTTATTAAATATTGAATTTATTTTATTCCAGTGTCAGAAAATACCACGAAATAATTACGGGCAAATGGAAACTGGGTGACAGAGAAAGTAGTATACACAATTTCCGTAAGATAGTAAGAAATGAGACTATTGTCTCAGTACTTTTCTAAAAACCAATTTAGTTAGATATTCGGAGGTACCAAGGAAGCTGTTTATAAAGGGATCATCTATAAATAGACATAAACAGACGGAAATGCTGTGGTAGACAAAGAAAGCAGTATACACAATTTGCGTAAGATAACAAGAGATGACACTATTGCATTAGTGTGCGCGCATCAGCATCTTGCAAACGCACACATTGAAAAATAATGCAACAGTTTTTCAAGGTGAAAGCATATCTAACTATTTAAATCTTTGCCTATAAATGTCAACACAATCAATCGTTTCCAATTTTCGTGTCAAGCGTCACTGCATGCAAATTATTTAAAAAAAGGCAAATTGTGCAATAATTACGTGTCGAAAGAACGATGAGAAATGGAATTTAAATAAATGAGACATATCCTACAACCTATAAGTCGAAATATTTATAATTTTTGAATATTAGAAACAAAAATAAAGAAAAATTTATCTATCAAAAACATTAATCAAAAGTCTAAAATTTGTAAATTCACTCAGTCTGTTAACACAGCGAATTGGGTTTATAGTAGTGATAACTGATAATACGACGTAATTGCTTGTATGTGTGCTCCCGGCGACGCCGATCCTCGTACGAAATAAGGTTGACAGCCATTCTATTGTGTATTATAGTATTATATGGTAACGAGGTATTCTATCTTAGACCTAAGAGGTTAAAACGTATCTAAAGTTTGATTCTTAATCGCAGATAGACGTAATGCCTATAGGAAACAGCATCCATTTAGTGTTGACTGTACGTTCACTTTCAAATCCACTGCTAGACATGTCTCATGGAGAATGCAACACCCCAAGTATGGACTTAAAACGATTTTCCCATTCTCAGTACGCTGGACAGATAGGTTGATGAGTACAAAGTCGTTACCCTCGCTCTAGAATTGTTAACCTTTTTACCAGTTTGTAAAATTTGTAAATCCATCCTTTTTTGAGTGGATTTATCGCTAACATTTGTTCGCTAGAGCTCAGTCCGTCTATGTGCTTGATTCTTCGAAAACCTCACTTCACCTTTAATAGAAGTAAGGGTAACAACACCATTTATCCGTTGGTAAGGAATGGTGTCACCCATAAACACCTACATCCATCTTCAATAAGAATCAATGCAGATGTATTGACATCAATTTCTACTAATATGGAATGCCTATTTACTAGTAAAAAGGGCTTCTTGTTCTTTTTTTAAATTCTACAATTTAAGGGACATTTACCGCTTAGCGTATGTCAGTCCCATCATACCTTAACATACATCATTTACTTATATAACGTTAATTATTATACTACGTAGACCGTGGACTCGATCAGAACATTCGCATCGTCGCCATTTGGTGGGGATAAATTATAATAATACATAACCTACGTCAGTTCTGTTCAAATTCAAGACCCTTATTAAATTACTTCTAAGAGACCCAAATCTAACACATTCCATCAATAAATGTTCTTGTTCTTGTTGCTCATCTTTAACCATTCAACAGATGTGCAACAATTAAAAATGTAATTTTGCTATCTGCTTTGACTTTATACGACACAATTATTTACTATTGACTTATACGACACAAACGTAATGATAGAATCCTTAACCAACCAGGTTCAGGGTAATTTACTAAAGTATGCAATATCGCATTTTTCCAAATGATATATTATGAAATATTTTAATAAATCTTGATACTATATATCTTGATCTGATATATTGTGAAGTAGCTTGTTGATAGTAAGTAACACAATATTTGCTTTAACATTACAAACTAATGAATGTATAGGTTAATGATTGGGCTGTTATAGGGCGACATCATAGCTCGCCAGTACCATCCCTTCCATCAGCCCGCTACGATGCCCCCTCCAGCCTTCAAGCGGTTATAGCACCAACCGACCCGCAAAGCGCCAACGGTGCTTGCGCAACGCACAAATGTGGCGTCGACGCAAAAAGACACGTTGAACAAAATGGAGACAACGCGAAATTTCACCGCCCAGATGACCCCACAGCAAAATGCAACGGGCAGTGCTATGGCACTGATGCAATATGTCACTGTCACCAAGACGACGCACGTGCAGGACGTTATTCTCAACAAAATGGCGTCGCCGCGAAACGTCACGCACACCACAGAAAGAAACGCAAGCGTAAACCGGTGCTGGTCTGAAGCAAATGTAAAGCAAATCATTAGCGTTTCACCATTAACCGTTTAACACGTAAGAATTATGGATCAATGCTCAAGTGCTGTTTTTAATCCTTATTTTGTGAAACCTTAGGCTTTTGGAGAATTTAATAAAAAGGTTTGACCAGCTAATAAGACTAGGAACTATAAATTTATTACAAGGAATTTTATTACTGTGAGTGGCACAGTAACTAGTGAGATTTATAGGACTGTAATATGTAATAAAGATAGAGTAGTCTTTGTAATGTCATTTAAAAAGTATAGAACTAAACATCATGTACAATAAATCGATCATAGCAACAAAAATGTCGTGACAGTGACGCAAAAACACAGACAAACTTCACAACTTCGTGATTTGTGTCGTATAGCGACTGGCAACATAATTATAATTTGCACGTAATTATGGCTTCGGTTTAGAAACGAGTTTTTGTAAATCGGATTAACCTAAGGATTAACCAAATACAATGACATTAGGTATACTATAGTTGTTTATCAAAGATCAAAAATGAGCAAAAACTAAAAGACTTTGCAAGTTTGCAGATAAATTGGTTTATAATGTCGGCTGTGTCGCCGTCGACAGATCTTAAGTTAATAAAAAAATATATATTTAATAAAAAATATAAGTTAATAATTATGGATTTCATGTGTAACTATTTAACTTAAACCAAAAAAGATGATATAAATGTCGATTATAGTTACTTTAGATTTACTTTAGATACGAGAAATCTGAGAGAGAAATTATTGTTTAACAATAATTAAGTTCTAGTTAAATAAAAACCATAATTTATTATTAGTATCACAACATAAATGTAAAAATTTAGAATATTTTCAACTCTATAACTGCATCATGTCAGATAAGCAACGTAATCTTGAAAATACCTACTTGAAAATTAAACCATAGCTTGGTACGTAAAAAAATCTAAACATAAATTGGTATTACCAAAAATTAAAAAAATGTTAAATGTCACGGTCCACTTTAATTTTCTTTTGTGTAGTATAATGTATTTACTTTTTTTACTTTAATATATTTGGAAATTTTGTAAAATATAATAATTTGGAATTAACATGTTATTTTAGGTACGAATGATCTCTTATACTATAATTTGAGAAGTTAATATAAAAAATTCGAATAATGTTATGAAATTTATAAAAACTTACAATTTATTATCCTTTGACAGGTAAATATTATAGTACAAGCTTAAGAAAATAAAAATTTCACAATAGCTTAACTCATTAATAAGCAAACGATCAGGCTATAATTTGTGCTTAAGAAGATTAAATTTGTAATAATATATTATTACGCCACTAGGGAGGGAAGTTTGACATTGGACCCGCGTGGTATTGTCGATGTCATACTTTCCTCCCGTTGTGTAGTATTTTTTATCATACCTTGATCGAAAGGAATGTACCTTAAAATGTATCATGACATATACTTCTGACGTTTAAAAACAATAGAGCTAGAAATTTGACGCATGCGTATTAAATTCATGAATCACTTTCATCCCTGAAAGTAGGGTCGAAATACAAACTTTTGATCAAGGTATGATAAAATAAAAATTTTGTTAAATATTAGATCTTTATGGAAAACCTTAGCCTTAGCCTAAATAGAAAAAGTTTGGCTGGAAGCAAAGACTTCTATGTATACTTACTACCAGACTGGCAATTTTAAAGAAAACCTGTGTCACAGATAAATCGCATGGGCCTGGCCGCCAGCTGGTAAATATGACACGCAGTTGTATTTTCATTTACGACAGTTACTGGTTTTAGGCTAATACCAAACAAAGTTACATATTTAACTAAAATAAACTTCAAAGCACGTTGACAAAGTGCGCGTATGAATAATGACAGTGTTTTCTTAGTCAGATTAAACAAAATCAGTATTCGATTGACGAAAACATCGTTCGCGGTTTACAAAACAAAGAACTAGTCTTCTCAACCGCTGGCAGTCGACTAAAAGAGTTACGAGCATTGACCGTAACTTAGTGCGCAATGTATTAAGGCCACAGAGTACACATACATAGGTACCGCCACATACATACGAAATTCCGTTTCAGGATTCCGTTTCGGAATTCCGACACTGCATGGCCACATACGTACGGAATCCCGTTTTGCCCGCAAATTTTCGAATAAAAAAGCTACCGTAGTTGTGTGACGGGTCCTTGATTTTATATGGACTTGGTGCGTTCTGAATCACGAATCTGAATCCCGAAATGGAATTCCGTATTTATGTGGCGGGCCTTACGTACTAAGCAGATCCCCTCTAAAAGTATACCTAGAAGTCAATGTTAACAAATAAACAATCAGGTTATAATTTGTCCATAAGAAACTTAAATTCGTAAAAATAATTTTGATATTAGACCCTAATAGAAAGCCTTAGTCTGAGTAGAAAGACGTTTTTGGTGGATGTGCTGAAAGTGAAAGATGACTAAGACTTTGACTAAGCGTTTATTAATCATGTACGCTGGTACGCTAAAAGTCCTACTCCCTGGTTACTCATTATCTACACTTACATTTAGATATGTTTGAGTGGGTGAAAGCTTTCTGTGATCATGACATTATGACTATTACTGCCGCGTAATACAAATTTAATGTTAAATAGGTAATCGTTTTCACATTTTTTTTGTATTTAATGAGGGCACCACATTCACATCCACGACTTTTTCTGCCAGCTGGGTGGCGCCCCTTAAAAATGAGTAATATTGGAAAGATTTCACAGCGGGAAAGTTAATTTGTACGAAAAATATAAAGGTTAATGTTTCTTTATGTATGTACTATTGGTTATATTTTATATTACTTGGATTAAAAATAAGTAAACAAACCATAGATTCATAAAAGTAGAAAAAATACGTAGACAGAGAAACCTATAGACTAATGCTTAGCGTGACCTCGAGTAAGAAAGGACGATAACGTATTTTAGGTTATACAATAATCTTTATGACTTTTATAATCTTTATGACTTTTAAAAATATTTAGATAAAATTTTTAATTCTAAGAACTGAACTGAACAAGATTCACCAATCTTAAGCTCACAGAACACTTTTTTTCTCACTTAAACCAACTTGTAAACACCTTAGATCGCTACGAACTGTCAAAGTTGTTTAGCAAAGTGTAGTTTGCTAAACAAAAAAATCGGCACGGAGAAAGGGACAAACAATCACACCGCTCTGTCTCATTTCTATGCAAGATGTATGCATAAATCTATCTTTTTCATGTGCGAATTCGAAAGAAGGCGTCAATTTGTCTATAGGTTTCTCTGTCTACGAAAAATTATAAAAAATTTTAAAATGTGCATAGAACTAAAGAGCAAACCACTGAGGCATTCATTTGTGTACTAATATAATACTCTAGTAACTAATAAACTTTAATCTAAAACTAACTTCTCAATTAAATGATATTGTGTTAGAGAAAACTTCACCTCAGTGTCAACCAGCGACATCTGGTGAGCGTAAGATCATTTACTTATTTCTTTTGAAATAACTGTTTCATAGCTCAAGATAACATTGAAAAAATATTTACAATATCCTATAGCCATGTAGGGTTAATTTTGTAATCTTATTGTATTAAAGAATTTTCCAGAACGCATCAAACAAAAATCTATTATTAGCGTGTTTAAAAATCAATGAGGACATGCTATCAACATTTCAGGAATTAATACAGTTTAAGAATAGTATTAAAAATAAATATTCTGTCAGGCACGTTGAGATGGAGCAGTATAAAGAGAATTTCAAAAAATTCAAAATTCAAAAATGTTTATTCTGTAACAAAAAATTAACAATCATAGCAGTATATTAGAGTTCTCCTTTTAAGTATTTTTAAATACTTGTGACAGGAAAAACTCGCTCTTCCTTAATTAACATACAATACTTTAGTTACAAGAATAGCATAATATTCCTTTCCTAAAATAATTTATTATCAAAAAATATGAAGATGTGTGCGCGTGCGTGCGCATGTGTGTGTGTGTGTGCGCGTGCGTGCGCATGTGTGTGTGTGTGTGTGTGTGTGTGTGTGTGTGGTGTGCGTGCGTGCGTGCGTGTGTGTGTGTGTGTGTGTGTGTGTGTGTGTGTGTGTGTGTGTGTGTGTGTATGTGGTGTGCGTGCGTGCGTGCGTGCGTGCGTGTGTGTGTGTGTGTGTGTGTGTGTGTGTGTGTGTGTGTGTGTGTGTGTGTGTGTGTGTGTGTGTGTGTGTGTGTGTGTGTGTGTGTGTGTGGTGTGCGTGTGTGCGTGCGTGCGTGCGTGCGGTGTGTGTGTGTGTGTGTGTCTTGTGTGTGTGTGTGTGTGTGTGTGTGTGTGTGTGTTTTGTAAGTCGTGTTATTTTAACAAATTTTCTATTTCGTGATAGTCTTTTCGTTTGAGCCATTCAATGAGAATTACCTTACATTCTTTACTGGTTTTAGAATAAATATTCAATTCTTTATTTAAGTAGTTATATAAATAAGATGACTTTTTTGCCTGTTGCCGTCTAGCAAATGCTGTTTTAACCAGATCACTTGGAGCTAAAATTTAAGTTATAAAAGCCAGACAAATTTGCGCTAGGTACTCTTTTCTTCAGATTTTGAAGTAAATGTTTTAAAAGAATATCACACACTACCAATTGTGTAAAAACAAGTGGCTGCCTGCGTAATTCGGTATTGACAATAATAAAATAAATTTTGCAACGAAATTCGTAACCAAAGGAAATGCCTTATTTTTTCACCAAATTTAAAAAAGGAGGAGGAATTTAAAGCGTATGTTTTTGTATGTATGTTTACTGATTTCTCGGAACTAAACCGATTTTATATCCAGCCCTAAGTTTGTAACTACCTATTTAGACAACGTTCGGAAACCACTCAAATGGGTCAAAAACCAAACTTTTAATAAAAAGAAAGAACTGATTTTGAAAAACTTTAAAATATAAAATAATAGCTTCTATAGTCGGGGATTTAAGTTTTCGATACACCATGACTTCAGAAACCATTGTGTGAATGTATTTTATAGTCAGTTTTCAATTTTTTTTAATTCATATAGAATTTTACATTACCCAATGTAAAATTCT